CTAACCCTAACCCTAAGCCTAACCCTAACCCTAACCCTAACCCTAACCCTAACCCTAACCCTAACCCTAACCCTAACCCTAACCCTAACCCTAACCCTAACCCTAACCCTAACCCTAACCCTAACCCTAACCCTAACCCTAACCCTAACCCTAACCCTAACCCTAACCCTAACCCTAACCCTAACCCTAACCCTAACCCTAACCCTAACCCTAACCCTAACCCTAACCCTAACCCTAACCCTAACCCTAACCCTAACCCTAACCCTAACCCTAACCCTAACCCTAACCCTAACCCTAACCCTAACCCTAACCCTAACCCTAACCCTAACCCTAACCCTAACCCTAACCCTAACCCTAACCCTAACCCTAACCCTAACCCTAACCCTAACCCTAACCCTAACCCTAACCCTAACCCTAACCCTAACCCTAACCCTAACCCTAACCCTAACCCTAACCCTAACCCTAACCCTAACCCTAACCCTAACCCTAACCCTAACCCTAACCCTAACCCTAACCCTAACCCTAACCCTAACCCTAACCCTAACCCTAACCCTAACCCTAACCCTAACCCTAACCCTAACCCTAACCCTAACCCTAACCCTAACCCTAACCCTAACCCTAACCCTAACCCTAACCCTAACCCTAACCCTAACCCTAACCCTAACCCTAACCCTAACCCTAACCCTAACCCTAACCCTAACCCTAACCCTAACCCTAAACCCTAACCCTAACCCTAACCCTAACCCTAACCCTAACCCTAACCCTAACCCTAACCCTAACCCTAACCCTAACCCTAACCCTAACCCTAACCCTAACCCTAACCCTAACCCTAACCCTAACCCTAACCCTAACCCTAACCCTAACCCTAACCCTAACCCTAACCCTAACCCTAACCCTAACCCTAACCCTAACCCTAACCCTAACCCTAACCCTAACCCTAACCCTAACCCTAACCCTAACCCTAACCCTAACCCTAACCCTAACCCTAACCCTAACCCTAACCCTAACCCTAACCCTAACCCAGCGAGGTGAGTAAGAGTAGCGGCAGCAGAGTTAAGTAAGAGTAGCGGCAGCAGAGTCAAGTAGGAGTAGCGGCAGCGAGAGTAGAGTCTATGGGCCATGGAGTTAGCGGAATCGACCACCAGCCCCCAAAGATCGCTTTTCTCTGACACCAAAACGCACCCCACTATCGCTACTAGTGCCGGGGCAGCTAAATACATGGTCATTATGTGTCGTGGTACACTACCAGCCTTGTGCAGGTGTCAAACGGGTCTCCGGAGGCACTCCAGACCGGTCCGGGACCCGTAAGAACTCCAACCAGAGAGGTATCCAACGCCTCCCGACACCCTAGCAGGGCGGCCCAGGCCACCCTAGCACTGCCTGCCGCCTGTGAGCCAGGCCAGTTGGCCCCAGCCAGCCTCAATCGTGCCAGAGACTGCCCCGCGCCATGCAGCTATTGCAGACAGCAGGGCCGAAAGCGCGCTCAAAGTGCGATGCTCGCCTCGAACACGGCCTCGAGCGACCTCTCCGGGTGCTACACGACCGCCTCCGCGAGGATCGTTGCGGGGGGCATGCCAGCGCCGCGCTGCTCCGAGTTGACGGCGCCCCGCACTCGTCTGAAGGCGGAAGGTCGACCCGGCGGCGCGCGCGGCGGTTTGGGCATCGCGCACGTATAGGGCCGGGCGCAGGCCGGGGCGCGCAGGGGGTGAGCGGAGAGGGCCGTTTGGCAAGTCAAATGCCAGCTGGGTTTGGGGAGTTGGCTGAGTCCGGGACTCTCGCGTGAAGGGTACCAGCTGCCAGAGGGGTCGATTTCTCGACCTCCCGAATTCTCCGGGTAAGGGCGGTCCCCGGCATTATTTAGGGTGCTAATCACGAATCCAAGGCCAGAAACACGCCGGAAGATCATCCTACAGGTGTACTCGGTAACTCCATGGCCCATATAGAGTAAGAGTAGCGGCAGCGGCAGTATCGCAGCCAGCAACACAAGAGCGGCAGCTCAGTCCACAGGAGCGGCAGCGAAGTCTCAGCTCGGATCCACTTAGGATCCACTTAGGATCACTTGGCTGAAATGGATCCTAACGTTGTTCTTAATTAGGATCCGATCTATCGAGCTAGGATCGGATCCTACGGACGAGGATCGGATCTATCGAGCTAGGATCGGATCCTTAGGAGAGCGGCGAAAGCGAGCGCACAGAGCGGCAGCTCAGTACACAGGAGCGGCAGCGAAGTAGAAGAGCGCCCAGCAGGAGGTGAGGCGGCAGCGTAGTGCATTTTGGAGCTCGATTGAGTTGCGCGAGCTTCGTCTCTCATTCGATCCTAATTCGAGGATCCGATCCTAACGTTAGGATCGGATCTTGCGCTTCTAGCACCGATCATTGGCGAGAGAGAAGCGGCAGCGAGCAGTTGTGGCGCTAGCCTTGTTCCACGCAGTAGTGTTGCTCTTGAAGAACACAAAGTCACGCGCTTTTGGTTCCACGCAGTGGTGCTTGCTTGGCCGTTCTTTGGCAGCGAGCTTTCTGATTAGTTTAGGCGCAGTTGCGATCTTCTGCTTTGCCACAAAGTCTCGGCTGCTTTTGGGTGGCTGTGTGTGCTGCGGTATCAGTCGGATGAAGCCGGGGGGCGCTGCCCCCCGGACCCCCCGCGCCTGCGGCGGGCTTCTTTTTCCGCTGCGCGGGGCCTTTTTAGCGCCTGCGGCGGGCCTTTTTGCCGCTGCGCGGGGCGATCGATCCGGATCCTAATTAGGATCCGATCCTAAAATTAGGATCCGATCCTATCTTGCAGCATCAAATTGAGGCGGCAGCCTGTCTTTGCTGCTCTGATTTGTCCATTTGCATCGTGCGGCGAGGGTGTGAGCGCCAAGCGCGCGTGCTACGATACCGCGTTGGTGTCCAGTCCGAGCCTGGCTGTTCTTCACCTTTCTACCTACCTACAAACTCACACATGTACATGTTCTTCACCTTTCTACCTACCTACCTATGGCGCTGTGTCTTGTGGTTCTGTGTGTGGTCGCTCCTGTGTGACCGTCATCGCCCGTCTTGCGTCCACCCATACCGCGTTGGTGTCCCAGTCGTTGGTCGGACTGTGTTTCGCCTTCCTATCTATCTATCTATCTGTGTTTCCGGGTGCACCCGAGCCCACCCGAGAGGTGTCCCCAAGGGTCTGGGGCCGTTTTGCTAAAAATCGAGCAAAGTCAGCTCCGCCTCAGCGCGTTGCACTTCCCGGGCCCCCTTGGGTGGGCTCCGGTGCACCCGGTTCATGCAAGCGCGAAATTCGCCCGGTGGCACTTGCCAGCCGCGATCCTCCTCTCGTCGAGCACTGCACTAACCGTGACGCTCACCTTACGGCTAGCTCCGCGGGAGAGCGGAGAGGACCAGGGGGAGGGGGGGGGGGGTCGCGTGGCCTCCGATTTCCGTCAACTCAGCATCCACACCCTTTTTAGGCGGGGTAGCATTGGCCGCGAGTATTTTGGGCTGTTAAAGCAAAAACAATGAGCTTAGCAATGGCGCAGGTTCCCTGACTGAGCTCTGCTCCACGACGCGGCGCCGTGCTATGTGCATGTGTGTGGGGCGCGCCGTGCAAAACACCGCTTGCACTTGCACTTCCCTCACCCGCGCTCTATGTTCCCTGCGCCTGCCGCACCGAGGGCACCTTGCGCGCGGCGACGAGCGGCTCTGCAGGCGCGAGGACGCGTCCGAGCAAGCCGCGCTGCGCCAGCACCTCCGAGACCCACCGCGCGAGCGGCATTCGCCCCACCCCTCCCTTGTCGTGCGCGTCGAGCAGCGTGCGGAGCAGCGACGCCTTGTACACCCACGCGAGCGCCGTCTGCGGCGGCGCGACGCGGCGCCAGCCCGTGCCGTCGATCGGGTGGCCATCGGCTCCCGCGGGGAGGGAGAGAGAGAGCAGCGACCAATCGCGCTGCGCCGCGGTGGCCGAGGCGGCCACGAGCGGCAGCAGCGAAGCGAGGAGGAGGGGCGGGCCCCCGCCAGAGTACGCCGCGTCGTCCTCGAGGACGCAGACCCACTCCCAGCCGGCCGCCAGCGCGTCGCGCCACGCCGCGACGTTCGACGCGAGCACGCCGACGTCGCCCGCGCCCAGCTCGGACGCGGCGGCGCCTACGGTACGCGTTCACGCCATGTCCGGCGCACGTCCGGGAGGGGGCTCTCTCGGCGCGGGCCGCGCCCGCGCGCGCGTCGGCCAGCGCGGCGGCGCCCATCTCGCCGCCGAGGGTGGCGGCCTGGACGCGCAGACTCGGCGGCGGGAACGGCCAGAGGTGCTGCCGCGCCGGGCACAGGAGGAGGACGGCGCCACCGCTGCCGAGCGGGGCAGAGTGCCACGGGTTGCGCGCGTCCGAGGGGGCGAGCAGCCCCGTCCCCTCGGCGAAGCGGCGCTGCTCGCCGTCGAGCTGCTCGGCGCCGCGCTGGAAGATCTCCGTCGCCTAGGCGCGGCCACACCGCCCCGCCTCGACGTGGCGAACGGCCCTCGGCTCTCGACGGGCCGGGGAGGAAAAAGTCCAGAGAGAGGAAGGAGCCAGAGAGAGGAAGGAGCAAGAGAGAGGAAGGAGCCAGAGAGAGGAAGGAGCCAGAGAGAGGAAGGAGCCAGAGAGAGGAAGGAGCCAGAGAGGGGCCCCGCGTGCTCTCGGGCATCTCTCGGGTAGCGTCTCGCTCGCCAGTCCGCCCGGAGAATCTCGCGGCAACCTCGGGTACATCTCGGGCAGATCTCGGGTAGCGTCTCGCTCGCCAGTCCGCGCGCGCGCTCGAGCTGTGGCGGAGAGAGCCAACCGAGCGGCCCTTCGAGAGGCCTGCCGGTGAGCGCGAGGGGGAGGTTTGCGCCTACTCATGATCAACATTGAGGAGTCATTGCTCATTTCTGGGCGGAGGAAGCGCGAGCGGCGGGTCTGCGCCAAAGACGCGTTCCTGGTCTCGGGGCGGGAACACCTACGCCGCGCGGGGGCGCGGCTGGGACGGCGGCGCGGGCCAGATCGGCTGGCTGGGCTGTGTGTGCGGCCGCGCCCCCTCCTCTCGCCCGCGCCGCACCTATTCACAGCAAGGGGTGTGAAGAGACGCTGTTCACACTGCCTTGACGAGCCCCTCCTCTCGCCCGCGCCGCACCTCCTGCGCCGGGAGGGAGGGGAGCGCGGTGCGCCACAACTCCTCGAAGCCCGCTTGCTCCGCCGGCGAGAGCTGGCTCCACCCCGACGCCGCCGCCTTCTCGACCAGCCCCTCCGCCTCGTTCCGCCTCTGCCGTGCCGCGTCGTCCCCGCCCGCCGCCGGGAGGAGCTTCTGCGCCAGGCCGAGCCGCGCCTGGACGTGTCCCGGACATGTCATGGACGTGTCATGGACAGAGCCTCTGCGCCAGGCCGAGCCGCGCCTGGAACTCCTTCCTCTCGTCGCGGTCAAGCAGGTTGCGGTTGGTGCCTGTACAAGGCAGGCTCCCGAGACGGTGGGGGGGGGGAAGGTCCGAGCAAGGGAAGGAGGGAGGAGGCTGCGGTCGGCGCCGGTCCCGAAGGCTCCCTGCCGCTTGCTCTCTCGCTCGGACCGCTGGAGCAGCCGCATCTCGCGTTGCACCTTGAGCTGCACCTCCTTCACCTCGGCCGAGCCGGGCTGCAGCTCCCGCGCCAGGCTCGCCTAGGAGACGGGCCCCGGCAAGGCTCCGCGGCACAGCGGCGAGGCGAAGGCTGCAGTGGCTGCGCAAAGCTCGCCGCGCTCCACGCCTCGCGCCAATTCTCGAGGCCTGCGTGCGCCTAGAAGGTTCCTAGAAGGTTCCTAGAAGGTTCCTAGAAGGTTCCTAGAAGGTTCTCGAGGCCTGCGTGCGCCTGCGCCGCCCGAAAGTGCGCCTTTGCGCGCACCTGCGCGGCCGGCCCGCTCTTGAGCGTCTCGGAGAGGTCCTCGAGGGCGGAGACCAAGTGCGCCTTGGACGCGTCGCCCCTCGCCACCGGCTGGAGCCCCGGCGTCGGTGGCGGCGCGCCAGGCGGCGCCTCCTCCTCGCCCGCCGCGGCGGCGGCGAGCTTGAGCTTGGCGGCGGCGGAGTTGAGCAGGCACGGCACGCGCGCCTTGTTAGGGTTCGGGTTCGGGTTCGGGTTCGGGTTTGGGTTTGGGTTGGGGTTTGGGTCTGGGTTTGGGTTTGGGTTTGGGTTTGGGTTGGGTGTTAGGGTTAGTTGAGCAGGCAAGGCACGCGCGCGCCTTGTTGATCTTGCGCAAGTCCTCCGAGCCGAGCCCGCGGCCGAGGTCGCCCAGCTCCGCCGCCTCCTGGTCGCGCGCCACGTTTGCAATCTCGTACTTGAACATGGCGAGAGCATAGCCGTACTCGTCGAGCGCCTCCTTGAAGCGGCCCGCCTGTTCACAGCTCGGGTGTGAAGAGACGCTGTTCACAGCTCGTCCCTTCTTGAAGCGGCCTGCCGTGAAGTGGTCGTTCCCCTCGGCGCGCATCATCTCCGCGGTGGCGAGCCGCTTGGAGAGCGGCTGGCGGGCCTGGTTCTTCCACAGCCGCTGCAGCTGGCGCTCGGTCTGCGGGCGGGACGGGAGAAGCGATCGGGCGTGGTGAGAGGTGGTGTGGTGCAGTGCGGCGCGGCGCGGCGGCTGCAGGGCTGGCTCGGTGCGTGTGCCGCCCGCCTGCCCGTCGAGCGCCCCTCTCTCCGCCTCGCGCCGGCACTCGGCCATGTCTGGCATCGGGTTGTGTGCACCCGCGCCGCCGCCGCGCCCGTCCGACGGCGGCGGCTCGAGCGCCGCGCGCTGCGCCGCCAGCTGCGCCTCCACCTGCGCCCCGCCCGGCACGGATCGGCCCGCCGCCACGGCTCGCCTCAGCCGCAGCGTGTACAGGCCGCGCCGCGGCTGCGGAAGCGAGCGGAGCAGCTCCGCCGCGCCGCCGCTGGCGGTGCAGGCGTGGCCGTTGATGGCGACGAGCTCGTCGCCTAGATCCGCGCCGTCGGGTGCCTCAGCGAGCCGCCCTTCCCCCTCCGCTCCTCCCTCCCCCCTCCTCCCGAGGCTCGCCCGCGAGGATCTCTCTGCACGACGCGGCGGGCGTGCCGGGCCGGACGGCAACGACGCCATTGTCCGGGTCGAGGACGAGGCCCATCGGCTCGTCCCCGCGCCGCGCCAGCTTGACCTCCAGCTCCTCCGCCTCCAGCTCCTCCAGGGCCACCGCGCTGAACGGGATCTCTCTCTCGTCGTCGCAGTCGGAGCTGCTGTAGCCCTCGCCGGCGTCAGACTCGGAGTACGCCGGCCCGTTCTCCTCAAGCACGCACGCGTCGTCCGCCTCCTCGCAGCCCACAGGGTTGTCCTCGAGCAAGCAGCCGAGGTCGCCCTCCACCGGATTGGTCTCGAGCAAGCAGCCGCCGCCGTCGTCGAACGCAGGGTTGTCCTCGAGCAGGCAGCCGCCGAGTTCGTCGAGTGCGAACTCGGGGTTGTCCTCGAGGAGGCACGAGTCGGCTGCGCTCTCCTCTTGCGGCATGGAGGGGCAAGGGTCGACCCTTGGAACTGTGCGACGCTGGACCACAACAAAAAGGTGAATTTTTACGCCCAGCCTTCGATCCAGTCGTTGGTCGGACTGTGTTTCGCCTTCCCATCAATATTCGTTTACGTTGAGGTGATGTGGAGTCTGGCCGCGCGGCGGGCGGCGGGACGGACGTAAGATAATGAATCGATGATGCGATCAGGCGTAACAAGCGCGATTGCACAAGGGGTGGAGGAGGGTCTGGCCACCACGGGGCGAGGGAGGCGGCGGGCCAGATGCCGGATCCGCTGTGCGCGTTCGTCGGTCAGGGCGCGGCGCTGACCGCGGCGGCCTGGGCCGCGGCGGCGGCGAACGCCGACGGCGGCGGACCATTCCAGCGGCTCGGCGAGGGCCGGGGCGCGGCGTTGCGGGAGGCGTGGACGGCGGAGGCGGTGCGCACCGTGCCCGCGGAAAGGCGGGCGGCGGCGGGCGACGCCGACGAGCTGTTCGCGTACGCCCGTCCGCCCACGAAGAGGGAGAGGCTCGAGAAGGGCGAGCGGCGCGCCGAGCAGCACCAGGGGTGGGCCGATGCGCCGAAGGAGAAGAGGCGGAGGGCGGCGGAGGAGCAGACGGCGGCGCAGGCGGCGCTGCTGGGGCCGCTCGCGGCCGCGGACACCACGGCGTCGCTGGGAGGCGCGCTGATGCGGAGGCCGAGCGCCATCGTGGCGGCGGTGCTGCATCAACCCATCGCGGCGGAGCGGGCGGCGCCGATGCTCGCGCCGCTCGGCTACCACATGAACAGGCTATGCGGCGACGTGCTGAAGCGGTGGCGCGAGTTCGAGCGGGAGATGAACCGGTCTGACGAAGACGGCGGCGATGCGGTGATGCGCTCCAGCTGGGCGAACGGGATGCGGGAGGGGTACCCGTGCCAGCAGCTCACCGGTCATGTTCCTGCAGTATCTGCTCACGAGCCGCATCCAACAGTCGCACGCGTCGCGGCGGAAGGGGTGTGAGCGCATCGGGCGGGGGTCGACCACGGTGGGGGTCTATCTATTCAATCAGTGTCAGTGTATATCAATCAATGTAGAGTGCGTAGACCGTGTACGGATACGCAATCGGCGATATCAATCAGCCCGAGGACGGAGGGGGGCGGGCCTCACCCGGGGCTCACCGGGTCCCGGCCGTGCGGATCACAGTAGCCCGAGGTCAGGTAGCAGGGCGGTGGTCGTGCCATCGTCGCTTCGAAGGCACAGATACGCGCCGCATTCGTCGCCGGCGCGCGACAGGCTCCCGTCGGCCGGACTGCCCTCGACGAGTGGGTGTCGCCAACCAAAGCGACACGCACTCGAGGGTAGTGCCGACGGGACGCGGCTCGAGGGCGACTCTCGCGAAGGCACGGCTGGCAACCGTGGCGCGGGGCTCGCGTTCGTCAATCAATCTTCGATGTGTCTTGTGAGCTTGTTTGTGTCTGTGTGTCGTTCGTGCGTGTCGTCATCATCTGTCCCGCGTCCACCCATACCGCGTTGGTGTCCAGTCCGAGCCTGGCTGTTCTTCACCTTACTACCTATGTATGTTGGTAGTGGTGCGATTGTGCGTCAGGCGAAAGGCGAGCGCCGGCGGAAGGTGGCACGCCGAGCGTGTCAGCTAAGGGAGGCGATTGCGCGTCAGGCAAAAGTTGTTGATGGCCGACGACGTCGCCTTCGCTTCGGCTTGCGATGCCGAATCCGCTCCTGTTCGTCGGCAAGGGCGCGGCGCTGACGGCGGCGGCCCGAGCGGCTGACAAGGCGAACGAAGGCGGCGGAGCATTCCAGCGGCTGGGCGAGGGCCGCGGCGCGGCAATCCGGCTCGCGTGGCCGGCGGAGGCGCTGCACACCGTGCCGCACGAGAGGCGGGCGGCGGCGGGCGACGCGGACGACCCGTTCGCGCACGGCCGTCCGATCACCAAGAGGGCGAGGCGCGCGGCGGGCGAGCTGCGCGCCGTGCAGCACCAGGAACGTGCGGAGGCGCCCAGAGAGGCGGAGCTGGCGGCGGCAGAGGAGCGGACGGCGGAGCAGGCGGCGCTGCTGGCGCCGCTCGCGGCGACGGACACCACGGCGCGCCTGGCGAAGCGGAGGCGGAGCGCCCTCGTGGCGGCGGTGCTGCATCAACCCATTGCGGAGCCGGCGGGCCGGGCGGCTCAGATGCTCGCGCCGCTCGGCGAGCACTTGAAGAGGCAGTGCGACGAGGTGGCGAAGCGGTGGGACGACTTCCAGACGGAGATGGAGCGGCTTGACGAAGACGGCGGCGATGCGGACATGCGCTCCAACTTTGCGAACGGGATGCGGGACGGGTATCCGTGCCAGCAGCTCACCCTCGTGTTTCTGCAGTATCTGCTGACGAGCCGCATCCGACAGTCGCACGCGTCGCGGCGGCAGGGGTGTGAGCTCGTCGGGCGGGGGGCGAAGACGGTGGGGGTGCAGTTCAACATCATGCGGAGCCACGTGTGGCCGATCCTCTTCGGCGAAAAGGGCTTCCCGGCGGGACAGGAGGCGATGGCGTACTGGCGACCCATCCGCGACCATTTCTCGAGCCTCGTGGGAGGAGGGAGAGGGAGCGGCGGGGTCGAGCAGCTCGCCGGCGTCGCGCAGGCGGCGGCCAGCGCGTTGCAGGTGGCGGTGGGCGCGAACGCGACCACCGCGGCGGCGGCTGGCGACGCGGCGAGCCAGGCCGTGCAGCTGGCCATGAGGGCGGCGACTGCGCCGAGCTTGACGCGACAGCACTTGGGCCAGACCGGCCAGTACATCTTGCAGGACGCCCTGCTCAGCGAGTGGGTCGAGGTGAACGAGGCGTTCGTGCTCAACGCGTACGTCACCCTGGCGCGGCAGACCGGGTGTCGGCCCGGGATGGTGGTCAACGTGGGCCACGACTCGGTCGATCAGAACGGCGCGTGGGCCCACTGCGCGCCGCTCGTCTGGCAGGACCTGCTGGTCGGCAAGCTCGAGGAAGGGTTACACGAGCGCACGTCGCGCGCGTGTGCGCCTGCGACAAGACGAGACGAGACGAGAAGAGAAGGAGAAGTAGACGGTTGATGTTTTGCTGCCGCGGCCGCGCCGCGAGCTCGCGTCTGTTTTGGCGCCGAAGACGCGACGCGCCCCGCTGCGTGAGATGGCGCCGCCGCGGAGTCGGCGCCGCGTTCAACCGCGCGCCAGCGGCGAGCGGCGCAGCGCGGCCACCATGCGGCGCGACGTGCCCGCCGAAGTTTTTTTTAGCTTAGCCTTCGATGTTCTCTCGAGGTTCTCGAGGTGGATATCCTTTGGCCGCGTTGGGTAGCGAGGATTGGTGTGTAACCCGAGCCACGGAGGCGTGTTTTCTGACGGCCGACCGTCAGTGCACGGAGTTGCCACTTCTCCGACTGCTCCGGCTAGTTCACGAGGTCGCGCGGGAGTGACCCCTGCGTCAAACCCGAGACCTAGCGCGGGTGGGTTGGAGGGGGCTCGCCCCGTTCCTCCCCATCGGGCCGCATGAGCGGCCACGCCTCGCAGATTCGTTTTCGCGCCTGGGTCAGGCGCGCGGGGCATCCCCCGGGTCGCTCGACCAGCGATCCGAAGAGTGGCCGCTATGCGAGGGAAAGAGTGGGGCCCTCGGGGTACGCCTCGTTCGGCCCCCTCCGAGGGGGGAAGGGAATTGCGGGGTCCCCTCGGGCGCCTCAGTTCGGCCCTCCCGAGCGCCGAGGGGGGGGAGATGTCCGTTTCAACGCGGTATGGGTGGAAAAAAGAAAGAAAACAGACAACCCAAGGGAGGGATGGGAGGACGGTATGGGTGGACTGCTGTGTGTGGAGGTTTGGAGAGCCTTGGCGACGCGACGCGCACGTCGCCAAGGAGTTCGTAAAATGTCAGAGTTTTCTTTCTTTGTGTGTGTGTGTGTGTGTGTGTGTCAATGATAGGGATTGATGTCAGGCCAAAAGAATTTCATCACGCCGCTCTCTCCGCATGGCGCATGGCCATGCTAGCGCACGGGTGGTTCTTGACAAAGATATCAGCTTTTAGAGAGTGAAGCAAGAGACAGTCTGCCCAGTGGGTGACTCGGCCAGCCGAATGAAAGACTACTCGCCCTCCTCTGCTGCCCTCTAGCATTCTCACTCGTCCGAGTTGCTGCCCGAATCACTGTCCTCCCCGCCGCTGCTATCCTCTCCGTCAGAGGAAGTAGGCGTCGGCGGCCGGCTCGCCCACACCTCGACCTTCTTGGGCAGCAGCTGGTGCGACAGGTCCTCTCCGTGGCCAAGGCAGCCGCGTTCGCCCAGACCCCAAGCATGAACACCGCCGTCGGCGGCGATGGCGAAGCTATTGTATTCCGCAGCCGACACAGCGACGACGCGCTGCCCAGCGAAGGCCTCGACCTTCTTGGGCAGCAGCTGCTGCTGCTCGTCGCCGTGGCCCAGCTGGCCAGAGGCTCCATAGCCCCAGCTCCAGACGGCGCCGTCGGCGGTGATGGCGAGGCTGTGGTAGATTCCCGCCGACACAGCGACGACTCGCCGGCCAGCAAAGGTCTCGACCTTCTTGGGCAGTGGCTGGCCCTGCATGTCGCCGTGGCCCAACTGGCCAACACCTCCCTCGCCCCAGCTCCAGACGGCGCCGTCGGCGGTGATGGCGAGGCTGTGGATGCCTCCAGCCGCAACAGCGACGACGCGCCGCCCAGCAAAGGCCTCGACCTTTTTGGGCAGCAGCTGGCGCTGCCGGTCGCCGTGGCCCAGCCTGCCATTGCCTCCTGCGCCCCAGCTCCAAGCGGCGCCATCGGCCGTGGTGGCGAGGCTATGGCGGGCTCCAGCCGACACAGTGACGACGCGCCGGCCAGTAAAGGCCTCGACCTTCATCGGCAGCAGCTGGGCCTGCCGGTCGCCGTGGCCCAGCTTGCCAAAGCCTCCCCAGCCCCAGCTCCAGAGGGCGCCATCGGCGGTGAGGGCGAGGCTGTGGGTTCCAGCCGACACAGCGACGACGCGCCGGCCAGCAAAGGTCTCGATCTTCTTGGGCAGCAGCTGGTCCTGCTCGTCGCCGTGGCCCAACCGGCCAAAGTGTCCACCGCCCCAGCTCCACACAGATCCGTCGGCGGTGAGGGCGAGGCTGTGGTATGCTCGAGTCGCCACGCTCACGGCGCGCTCGTCACCCAGCATTGACGGGAGGCGGGTCGGCGTGTTGAGCTGCGTCACGCCCTCGCCGTGGCCGAGAAGGCCTGGAAATTCCTCGTCGTCGTCATCCTCCCTTGCCGCTGACCCGCACGACGAGAGCCGCCCCTCGCCGTCGATGAAGACGCTGTGCTGTGCGCCTGCCGCCACCCTCACCGGCGGGTTGGACTCGCACAGCAGCGCAGACAAGCACAGCCACCGCACGGCGCAGCCCTCGCCCTCTGGCTGCGCCGGCAGCTCGAAGCCGCGCTCTTGCGCCCGCAAGCGGATGCCCTCCACCGCAAGCGAGGCGTGGAAGAGGAGCGAGACGGCCGCGGCGCGAGCGATGTCGACGGGGTCGCAGCGAGAGACGACGCGCACGAGGAGGTCGGTGGGGAGGTCGAGGAGGCGGGCGGGCGGCGGCGTGTCTGGCGAGGGGGCGGCAATGGAGGAGGCGGGGGCGAGGCGGCGCGAGCGGCGTCGCGGGGCAGACATCGCGAGAAAAAAATTTCCTCTAGCCGATCCCTGGCTTGAGAGAGAGAGAGAGAGAGAGAGAGAGAGAGAGAGAGAGAGAGAGAGAGAGAGAGAGAGAGAGAGAGACCGCCAATGGCCGTTATCCGTTAGTGCGGACGTCGCCGCGGCTCGCCTCTGCCGCGGCGGCTGCTGCGCGCACGCGGCGGCGCCGCTCTCTCGCGAGACGGCTGGCGACGCGGCTCGCCGCCGACGTACGGTGCGCTCGTCCGACGGTCCGCAGCGTGGCGTGCGCGGCGCTGCGCGCGGCTCTGCGAGCGCTTCTGCGCCTGCACTGCCTGTCTCTGTTGCTGCTGCTGGTGGTGGTGCTGATGCTGCTGGTGCAGATGCTGCTGCTGGCGCGGCGCGGCTCTGCGACTGGGCTCGACGCGCGCGTCGCGAGCGTCTGACGCGGCGGGCGGCGTCGGGCAGGTGCGCTTCTCTCTCGGGTGGTGGTGGTGGTGCTGCTGCTGCTGCTGGTGGTGCAGATGCTCCTGCTGGTGAGGCTCGGCTCTTCGACTCGACTCGCTGAGCGCGTCGCGGGCATCTGAGGCGGCGGGCGGCGTCGCGGGCGGCAGCGATCGCGGCTCGACGGTGGAGGTGGAGGCTGGTGGCTGGAGGCTGTGCTGGTGGACCTTTGACTAACTCTCACCCGCCGCCGCTCCGACGGTGAAGCGGCGGGGATTGTCAGCGGATCGACGACTAGTTCGTGCTCGGACTGCCTCGCAGTCAACCCGTCGTTGAGGCTGGCCATTGCCAGAGGGCCCTGCAACAGGTAGGTACCCCCTATTTTCGTCTGTTTTCGCTTCGCTGCGCGGCAGCCTGGGTTGGGCTGTCCGAGGTTTGCCTCTCGCACCCCGTCTGTTTTCCATTCCTTTTTTCTCTACAACACTGTGCTCTGTAGAGTCCGACCGAACAACTCGACGTGGCGCAGCTCCGCGCCGGCGGGACGACCGAGCACATGATGTCGGCGAGCGCCAGTTCGCACCTGTGTCGAGCCTGTCTGCTGTGAGAGAGAGTTGTTTTGGAGCACTTGGAGCACTTGGATTGATTGATTGATGGGAAGGCGAAACAAACACAGTCCGACCAACGACTGGGACACCAACGCGGTATGGGTGGACGCTAGACGGGCGATGACGGTCACACTTGGAGTGCAGTCAGTAACCTCACATCCAGGGCCGGGGAGCTGAGAAGCGCACCCAGCGGGCCGCATGCTCGGGTTCTTTAAATTCTTTTCCAAGAGTGGCGTAACCGGAGTTAAAATTCTTTTCCAAATTCTTTTCCAAAAGCCAGCTTTTGAAGCCGCGTCCGAGGTCCGAGGCGCCAGTTGCGCGAGCGGCGATCAGAGGATCGCCTGGGCCCCGAAGAAGAATGACGACGACCCTCTCGCTCGGGGCGGTGCTCGGCAAGGGCGCGTACGGCATGGTGTACCAGGGGTGGCTCCGCCAGCCGGGCCAGCAGGGTGCAGCCGTCGCCGTCAAAGTGGTGGAGGACCTCGGTGGCTCAAACAGCTCGGACCAGGTGCGGCACGAGGTGCGGATGATGCGCGCGGCGTCGCACAAGTGCAACGTCGCGCTGCTCGCCGAGTTCGTCTACCGCGAGAAGGCTTGGCTCGTGCTCGAGCTCTGCGCCGCCGGCTCCGTCGCCGACCTCGTCTCGCCCCGCCGCGGCGGCCGCACGCTCGACGAGCGGCAAATCGCGGCGGTGAGCGCCGGCGCGGCGCGCGGGCTGGCGCACCTGCACGACGTGTGCTCGGTGGTGCACCGCGACGTCAAGGCGGCGAACCTGCTGCTCACTGCCGGCGGCGAGGTCAAGCTGGCCGACTTTGGCATATCGCGGATCCTCGAGGGGAGCGCGATCCAAGGCACGGTGATTGGCACGCCGATGTGGATGGCCCCGGAGCTCATCATGGGCTCGGTCGAGACGGCGGGCGACCTGTGGTCCCTCGGCATCACGATGATCGAGATGGCGCAGGGCGAGCCTCCGCTCGCGGCGGTCAAGCCGCACCACGCGCAGCTCTTCAAGATCGTGAGCTCGGACCCGCCGAAGCTCGCGCCGCCGAGCGAGGCGGCGGAGCTGCACCGCAGCCTGTATGGCACCGAGCCGGCCGCCACCGTCGGCGAGTGGAGCCCCCACTTCGTCGCGCTGCTGACGCGCTGCCTCCAAAAGGCCGCGCAGAGCGGCGGCCGCTTCCAGCCACGGGAGCCGTGCCGGAGGCGTCTGCAACTCCTCCCGTAGGAGCCGTCGGAGCGGCCGCGCGCGAGCGAGGCTGCGGCCGTGCCCACGCAGTGCGCACTCCACGGACGCGTCCACGACGTGTCCACGACGTGTTAGGTTGCGGGCGAGCCTTGGTGCGCCGACGCGTCCCCCGCCGCGTTGCTGCCTCGCCTCTCCGTCAAGGAGGAGGAGGTGAAGGAGGCGGTGTTGCCCGCCGGAGAGGCGCCGCAGGACGGCGGGGCGGGCGGCGGGGCGGGCGGGCCGACGCCGCTGCCGTCGCTGCTCGGGGAGGACGGCCCCCTCCCTGGGATGCTGCGGGTGGACTGCGTCGTCGGGTGTGCTTGCGAGTCCGCGGCACCTCCAACAAGTAGGACCCGGACCCTCACCCGGACCCCTGCCCGGACCCCATGTCAGGTACGACGAGTCCGCGGCGGCACACGACGCCGCGGCGCGTGGCGCCACCCCCACCACCTCTGCACCCGCCTCCGCACTCCTCGCCCCCGCACTCCTCGCCTCCGCACTCCTCGCCTCCGCACTCCTCGCCTCCGCACTCCTCGCCTCCGCGCTCCTCGCCTCCGCACTCCTCGCCTCCGCACTCCTCGCCTCCGCACTCCTCGCCTCCGCACTCCTCGCCTCCGCACTCCTCGCCTCCGCACGCCCCGCCTCCGCACTCCCCGCCCCCGCCCCCGACCGCGTTTGCCCTTGGCACCCGCCTGCCCGCGCCACCCGCCCGGCAACCTCCGAGCCGCGCCTCCGCAGGTCGCTCGCCGCTTCGCGTCCGAGCTAAGCACCTCTGCCGGGCAGCGCAGCGGAGGTGCGGAGGGCCGCTCCTCCTCCGCAACTTGCGAGTTCGGCGCCGCGACGCAAAAGGTCAAGCGAGGCGGCTCGCTGGAGGCGGAGGCGGGCGAGGCGGCCGTGCAGCTCGATGCGACACTGCAGCTCGATGCGACACTGCAGCTCGAGGCGACGCTGCAGCTCGAGGCGGCCGTGCAGCCCGAGGCGGCGCCAGTCCGTGACACGTCCCGCGAACATGTCCGTGACACGTCCCTTAGGCCACCCTCAAGCTCGACGCGACCGTCAAGATCGACGAGCCTGCCCCGCCGGCCCTCGCTCTTCCCGCCTCCTCACCCCGCCAGCCTCGCCCCCGACACCCGCTTCCCTCCGCACAGGCGAAGCCCACGAAGGGGGTGCGCGTGATGCGACGCGCCTCCACCGGCAGACCGGCCCCGTCCGCAGCTGCGCCAGCCGGCCCGCGCCCTTCCCCGCTGCGGATCAGTCGTGCGGCCGAGCCCTCCGCCTCCTCCTCCTCCTCCTCCTCGGGCGGGTGCGGCGGCGGCGGCGGCAGTGGCCGCAGCAGCACTCGCGAGCTCGACGCCGAGGCGCCACTCGTTAGTGATCGACTAGCGAGGGAGGGCGATCTGGCGTCACCTCGCGACTTCGCCCCCCCGAGGTGCTCGATGCCGTCGAGAAAGCCCAGCTCTCCGCGCGCCGCTCCCTGTCCGGCGGCCTCTCGGCGCTGCCTACGCCCTTGTCGCCGACCCGCCGCATGTGCTAACCCTAGCCCTAGCCCTAACCCTGACCCTACGCCCACGTCGCCGACCCGCCGCATGTGCTTCCGCCGAGATTGCTGCCGAGATTGCTGCCGAGATTGCTGCCGAGGTTGCTGCCGAGGTTGCTGCCGGACGATGGCCCACAACGACCCGAGATCACCCGAGATCACCCGCCGCACGCGCACCCGCCGAGGCGTGCCGGCGCGCGCAGAGGGGCCGCGCCTCAGAGTGCCCCCCCCCGGGGCGCCTCTCAGGCCCCGCGCCGAGGAGCTCGCGTTGGGAGTGTCGCTGGGCGGCACCATCGCGATGGGGCTCAGCCCGCACAAGCGGCCGTCCCTCGTCCGCCCCCTGCCCGGAGGCCGCGCCGTCGTCACGCACGACTGCCCGGTGCCGCTCTTCCGCGGCATGACATATCCGCGACGTGTCCGTGACATTTCCGCGACGTGTCCATAGCTGCCGCCCCTCGGCGAGGCCGACAGGCGCGCCTTCTGCGCCGCGCCGCTCCGCTTCCTCTCCGCCGCGCGTGCCGCCGGCAGAGCGGACGCCGACCTCGCGCGCTTCGTGGCAGAGGGCGGCAGCGCGGCGAGGGTGGCGATGGGCAAGGTGATCTCCGCCGACTTGTCCGACGAGGCGGCCGGCCGGGAGGCGGGGCGAGGGGGCAGGCTGCAGCCGGCCGTCGAGGTGCCAGCGCTTTGCTCGACGCCGCTGCTTCTGCTGCCCGAGATGATCCGAGGCTGCCCCGAGACTAGGCGCTGCTCGACGCGCTGCTCGCTCGCCTCGAGCTTGGCGCCCACTTGCGGCCGGCCGACCCGGGCCCGTTCTGCGCGGCGCTCCGCCGGGCGCCCCGTTCCTCCTTTCGCCCCGCCACACGCCTTTCGCCGAGTGCCGACTTGCGACCCCCTCCCTCGAAGGCCCTCTCCGTCTGCGCCTTGCCCGACGAGCCGGCCGAGGCGCTCGACCGCGGCATCGGCCGCCTATTCGCCGCCGTCGGCCGAGCTCTCTCCTCCGGCTCGCCGGCCGCCGCCGCCGAGCAACAGGCGCAGTCGATGGCGACGCTGGCGCTGCTGCTCGTGCGCGCGCCGCTGCTCGACGCCTCGAGGCTTGCGGCGGTGAGCGGCGCGGCCGGCGTGCGCGCGCGGTTGAGCGAGGGAGAGTGGAGGCGGCTGCACGCCGAGGTTGCGCGGGCGCCGCTGCGACTCGACGGGACTGCGGACCTGGTCGCGCGCGAGTTTGAGGGCGGGGTCTTGCGGGCGAGCTCGACCCACAAAGGGACAAAGGTGCGGTGGACCTTCCTTTGGGGGACTCTGGCGCGAGGGGAGCTGCGGCTCTGCTCGGCGCTCCCCGACGGGCAGAAGCAGCTCGCCAACGAGCGGCGCCGCGCCAAGGACGGGACCGAGGAGACCCTCTCCCTCGCTTCGCTCTGCGTGCGGCACGGGCGGGACCTCACGCGCGACCTGAAAGACTCCCGCAGTATCGGCAGATTCGCCCTGACCAAGCGCAGCCCGACCTCTTTCGAGGTCCTCGCAGAGTCGCAGGACTCGTGATACGAGCTGCCTGGCACGTTTCTGAACCTGCCGGGACCTCCCTACAGGTCATCGCGGACTCGTGCTTCGAGCTGCGCCCGCGCGCGCGTGGAGGCAAGGGGCCTTTACCACCGCCCCCCCCCCCCCCCCTCTCTGGGAGCGGCCCCGACCCGCCGCCCCCGCTTGCCGCAGGCAACCTTCGACGGTGTCCGGCGCCTCGACATGCAGATCTGCGACCTCTTCGGCATCGGGCTGAGCATGCCCGCCGGAGGGCGCTCCCAGCAGCAGCGCCTGCTGGCGGGCTCCGACGAGCTCGCCCTCAAAGGCGCAGAGCACCGGCCCTTCGCCAGGCAGCAAGCCAAGCAGTGGGTCGACGCGCTCGAGGAGCACGCCGCCGTCTGCGCCCCCGTGGGCGCGGCGGCGGCCGAGGCGGCCCAGCGCTTGCTCCAGCGCACGATCGCTGGTGCGGCGAAGCCGGCAGCGACCGCCAAGCCGGCAGCGGCGGCCAAGCCGCCAGTGGCGGCCAAGCCGGCAGGAGCCGCAACGTCGGGGGAGGCTCCTGCTGCTCCAGCGGTCGCTCCTCCGAGCTCAACCGTCGAGGCGGCCGGGGCGGCGGCTGGTGAGACTGTCCGGGCGACGGACGCGGCGCCCGCTCCGGCGGTGAAGCTTCCGCTGCGCGACGCGTCGAACCGCGACCGCGATTCGTTGACCGAAGCCTCTGCCCCCTCTCCAAAGCCGTCGGCTGCGGCGCGCGCCGAGGCTCCCCCGTGCCAGCCTGTGCATGCCTTGCGCATGCCTCCGCCGGCAGCTGCGACTCGCGGCGACGCACGCCGCCCCAGCGGCTCCGGCTTCCTCTCCCGACCCCGCCGGAGCCTCACCGGCGAGGGCGGCGGTGTCGCCGCTGCACGCGCGAGGCACACACACACACACACACACACACACACACACACACACCACACACACACACACACACAAAACACACACACACACACACACACACACTCACTCACGGCTGAGAGACGGCCGCTCCTCTGGCTAGGTCTTCCTCGCAGTCCTCGGCGAACCGCTCCGGCTTCTTCGCCTCCGGGTTCGGCAAGCTGCGCGCGTCCTTCTCCACGTCGTGAGGCGAAGAGGCTGCCTTTAGAGGGCCTCGCGGGGACCCTCCATTGTGACTGAGCGAGCGATGCAGTGGCCGGCTTGACCGCTGGCGCAGCGTCGACAACCACACAACGAGTCGACCCCCGGGGGAGGAAGGGGGGGGAGGGCGATTGTCACATGGACCCGGTGTGCCACTGGGGGGGGGGGGGGGGGGTTCGGGTCGGGTCGGGTTGCGCGTACGGTGTTTTGCTCTGGTGAGCCGGGAGGTGGTGTGCGTGTTGAGGCTTGAGCGAGTACGCACGGTATATAGAACATACCGCGCTATTGTATACGCACGACGGAGACGGGCCCCTATATACGCCCGAGATGCTAGAACGTCGGAACGTGTGGTTACTGTTAGAGGGAGCGGACCGTGAGTTGAGGAAATCGAGGGACGCGACCCACTTCGCCACAGACGGTCCCGCGCCTCGCCGCTATGACGGGCACACGCCCCCGCACCGTCCGCTGTGTGCCCGTCTTTGTCCGGAGTGAATACTCCAACGCGCTCGTCGGTGGCGGCTTCCCCCAACCTGCGCCGCGCTCGGCGAACCTCGACAGCGCTTTCGGTGGCATGCAGCTCTTTGCGACAGAAGCCTGGAGAGCAGCTCCTCTGCTGCTCACACACTCTGCACAGTTGACACAGCCTACTGTGCGGCTGCCACAGCTGTGACAGCGATGGGCTCGCCCTCACTGGCCCTCAGTCAGTCACTTGTGCTGCGGCTTGTGTGAGCGACACTGCTCGGCGACTGCCGGCACACTGTGAGACCATGGGTGTGAGGTCAAAACCACGCTACCAGCGCTTGGTCACATCGGCCCCGAGGTCAGATCCTTCTACTCTGTTGATGACAAGACTTGTCTACTCGCTGGAGCCGAGCAGGAGGGCCCGGCGCACAACCCCTGGTCAACTCAGGGTCCACACCCCGTAGAAAAAATCGATTCGCGAGCTGGGCCGGCCCCTACATGCTAGAAAATGTAGAAAGCACGCCGCGGCCCGCGCACCCGCACGGGGCACGCGCGCGCGCCACGCCCCACGCCGCACGCGGCACGGTCCACGGAAAAAATAAAAGCATTTATATCTATATATTTTGAGACCTGCGCATTCGCCATTCCTGCACACCAGGTGTCCTATGCGCTATGCCAGGTCCGCTGCTTCGCTCGCGGCGTCGTGACCGGCTCCTCGCGCCGGGACGTGCGTCCGCCCCCGCAAGAGAGGGGCCACAGCGACGCCTCCCCCGCTGCTGTCCCAGCCCCCGCTGCTGAGGAACCATCCCCCGCTCCGGCTGCTGTCCCAGCCCCCGCTGCGGTTCCAGTCCCAACTCTGCTCCGCACTCCACACCGGCGGTGGCGGTGGCGCTTCGGCGCCGCCACCGCCGCTCTTGCTGCCGGCGTCGCCTGCGTGCCGCCTCGCCAGCGCGTCACGTGCGCGACGCAGCGCTTGCGACGCCCTCGGGGGTGGCGGCGGGCGGGCGGGGGAGGAGTCGCTGTCGCTCGACATGAGCATGCGCCACTCGACGAGGTCGGCCGTCACTGCAGTGGCGGGGGGCGACGGCTCACCCTGCTCGCAGCCCCAATCCGCGTCGCCCGCTCGCGCCCTCAGCGTGGCGGCGCGAGCCCGCCCAAGGAAGCGCCGCCCCTGCGGAGAGGCGGCGGCGGCGGCGGCAGGCTCTTTCTCTGTGCAGCTCGGTCCCGGGGAGGTCGGCTCAGTGCGGCTGCCTTGCTGGCTCCGGCGCGCCAGCCGGCGGCGCAATCGCGCACTGAGGCGACGCGTCTTGCTGGCTGCGGCGGCGGCGGCGGCGGCTGCGGCGGCGGCGACGCGGCGAGAGGACCGTGGAGTAGCAGCAGGGGCGGCAGCAGCTGTGGCGGCGGCGGGGGCGGCGGCGGCGGCGGCGTGGTCGCCGTCTGCCACGGGCGGGGCGCCGCGGCCTCCTTGGCGCTGCGGAGGCGCGTATGGAGCGCGGATGAGGGCGGAGATGTGGGTGAGGGGCAAGAGGGGCGGGGCCTGCGCCGCGCTTCCTGGCGCCACCTCCGCGTCATCGAGGAGAGGGAGAGCCTCTCCCGCGAGGGGGGGCGCCGCAAACTCCTGCACAGACCCGCCCTCGCCCTCGCCCTCGTCCTCGTCCTCGTCCTCGCCCTCGTCCTCCTCCTCGTCGTCCTCCTCCTCCGCCCGCTCGCTCAGACGCATCGAGCAGCGACTCGGGTCCCACTCCCACGACCCGTCCTCTCCCGACAGGTCTCCCGAAGACACGCCGCCAACCACCAAGCCGCCGCCGCTCCTCCTCAGCGCATCCGCAGAAGCGAGCCACTGGACCGTCCAATCTGCCGCCGGCAGCCGCGGGGAGGGAGTGTCGCCGTCCCCGTCCGAGCCACCGCCCGACTCGCCGTCAACCGGCTCCGGAGCTGCCACACCACTCCGACGCCGCCGCAAGTCAGCGCCGCGCCGCAAGTCAGCGCCGCGCCGCGCCGCACTCCGCGCCGCACTCCGCGCCGCACTCCGCGCTGCGGTGGCGCTCGCGCTCGCCGCCGCCCGCCATGCCCGCGCCCCGACCCGGACGGAGGAAGCCGCGCGGGGCGGGGCAGCCTCGGAAACAGCCTCGTCGGCAGCCTCGTGGCAGTCGGCCAGGCCCCCTGCCGCCCCCGCATCGGCGCTGGGCTCGGTGGCGGCTGGCGCCGCAGGCGCAGCTCCTCTTCGCTCCTTCATCTTGAGGAGCCTATCACAGCTCAACGCACAAGATGGTGAGGGGGCGAGTCGGCAGGTGGAATCTAGGGCTGCGCCGCGTTGGTACGAGCCTCATCCCGCGGGTTTGCTGCGCCAGCTCCAGCGCCGCCAGCGCCTTTGTGGACGCGGCGTCCGGCGGCGCGGCTGTGGCACCGTGCTCGCCGTCACACGAGCAGCGGTCGCCCGACCGGACAGAGAGGACAGAGTCGCGCTCGCTCGCTCCGTCGCCGAGTAGCGGCTCCGGCGCATGCTCATGCACGGCGCCGCCCCGCCTGCCACCGCCACGCGTCAAGTAGCCGCTGAACTCGGAGAGCGACGCGACGGTGCTCGCTTTTGCTGAGTCGACCGTCCCGTCAGAGGTGGCGGAGCGAGCACTGTGACGGTCGGAGTGCTCGGATCCAACCGAGTTGCCCGAGGAGGTGGCGGAGACGAGCGGCGGGGCAAGCGTCGCTGCCGCCAGCCGCTGTATCATCGTCCGCTGCGGCGCAAACGTCCGCTGGGGCGGCGACGGCGGCGGACGCCGCCAGGGGTGTTGCCACCACATATTGTCGGTCACGTCATGATCGTCCGCCGGCTCGCCTCGGCGCTCGCCCTCTCGAGAGACGCTCGGCAGGGCTCGGTGCGGGCCCACCTGCTGGTCGGGCGCTGCCTCGGCGAACGGGTTCGGGCGCGCGGCTTGAGGCGTGTCCACCACGGTCATTGACTCGTCGACCTGCTTTCAAGTCCTTTAAGACGCTGTAGACAACGTAAAAGAATTTTTCCCACCGGGGAGCAGGGGGAAACCCTGCCCACCCCCTAGAGCTCCAAGTAAGGCCCAGGTGTGGCCTAGGGCATCAGAAGGGACCAAGATGAGTCCAGTCTGAGCCATAGAGCCGATGTCTTTGCCCCCGAAGGTCGCGTTCAAATGCCCGGAACGGCCGTCTCAGAGAGAGATGCACGGAGTTGCCCCTTCTCCGACTGCCCCGGCTAGTTCCCGAGGTCGCGCGGGGCTGACCCCTGCGTCCCCCGAGACCTAGCGCGGGTGGGTTGGAGGGGGCTCGCTGCAGGGAAGGGCTGTGTAAGAAGCCGATCCCCGTAGTCCGTCCCGCTCCTCCCCATCGGGCCGCATAAGCGGCCGCGCCTCGCAGATTCGTTTTCGCGCCTGGGTCAGGCGCGCCGGGGCATCCCCCGGGTCGCTCGACCAGCGATCCGAAGAGTGGCCGCTATGCGAAGGAATGAGTGGGGCCCTCGGGGTACGCCTCGTCCGGCCCCCTCCGAGGGGGGACTCCTGCGAGGGCGGCGAGGCACTTAAAAGCTCCGTGCACCCGCCCGCCCCCGCCATGAGGCAAGCTCATTCACAAACAACCTGCTCTGCGATTGCCGTGTGATAGACGACCGAGATACGCTGCTTCTGCAGCCCCAGCCAATTCTTAGTGGTCCAAGTCACCTCATCGAGGTACCCGGGGGATGCCCCGCGCGCCTGACCCAGGCGCGAGAAACGAATCTGCGAGGCGCGGCCGCTTATGCGGCCCGATGGGGAGGAGCGGGGCGGACTACGGGGATCGGCTTCTTACACAGCCCTTCCCTGCAGCGAGCCCCCTCCAACCCACCCGCGCTAGGTCTCGGGGGACGCAGGGGTCAGCCCCGCGCGACCTCGGGAACTAGCCGGGGCAGTCGGAGAAGGGGCAACTCCGTGCACTGAGGACGGTCGGCCGTCAGAAACCACGCCTGCGTGGATCGCGTCACACCAATCCTCGCTACCCAACGCGGCCAAAGGATATCCACCTCGAGAACCTCGAGAGAGAGAGAGAGATTTTTAGCATACCAAACAACTCTAACACTCACACATCATTTGGGGCCTGGAGCCCTGTTCACGCGCGCGCGCGAGACGTGCAGACAGGGTTGCCAGGTGAGAGCGAATGGCGCGGTTTGCCGTCTCAGAGAGAGAGATTTTTAGCAATACCAAACAACTCTAACACTCACACGTCATTTGGGGCCTGGAGCCCCTGTTTTGTGTAGTTTATGGTGGTTTAGAGTTTGCGGGGGGGGGGACGGCTTTGGGCGGTCGAATTCAATTTGGGGGGCTTATACGGTTTTGGGGATCCTGCCGACGCGCTACAGTTGTAGTCCCACTGCACGCAAAATGGACACCGCAACGGGAGGGCACTCGCAGCAGGCGGGGCCGAATCCTGCAGCCTTAGTCGTGGCCCGATCCGGCGGCATGCCACGGGTAGGCGCGTTGAGGCTTGCCGCCTCCTCTGCGCCAACGCGGCCTGTGCCGCAGCTTGCGTTTGCTGCCAGACAAGAGGAGGAGCAGAGCCGTTTGGCGATAGGGCCAGGCAATCGCATTCGCCCCGTGGGCGTTGCGGACCCGAGCAACACCCAGGTCGAGGTTGCTGCGCCTCGTGGCGCAGTGACGCAGCATCGCACGCTTGTTGCGGGCGATGGAGCATCGACGGCAGCTGGAATCCTGGCTCTTCCGGATGCGGGTCCGGCGGCATTTGCGGCGGTGTCTTTGCAGCTGCGAGCGCAGCGCGGTCAGATACCGTCGGCCGCCGAATGGCGCACAATGCCGCAGCTGCGGCTGGAGTGGTGGCTGTGTCGGCATTGCAGAGACGTTGTCAACCACAACTCGGCCACGTCCTGCAGCAGATGCGCGTCGAGCGTCAGGGAGATGACGCCATATGCAAGTCCAGCCGAGGTCGCAGCCCTCTCAGCCAACGCACAGCGCACCGCGTATGGTCGGAGACTCAAAAGTGTGCAGGGAAAAGAGCAGCCTGTCGCTCTGGCTGTTGCGCAGACGCCGGGCAGCGCCGGCTATGCCAGCGCTGTCCTTGCCCAGATTGCGAGCTTTCAGCCTGGGTCGAAGCGGCTGGAGGCGATGGTGGAGCCTCGTGTTGGCCTTTTTGACGGATGGCTTGCGCTCACGACCGATGGGACTGTCAGATTTTGGACGCGCGACGATGTGCGGGCATTCTTTGCGTGCGGCGAGGGAGAGGCTCTCATCGCCGAGTACATTCTCTCGTGGGGAAGGCGTGTCGACATAGGCGTTGAGGGGCAGCCACTAGTGGTTCAGGCGGCGCCGAAGGGCGGGTGGTGGATGCGTACTCTCTCCTTCGTCAACGAGCGGCACCTCCACATCGTCCGCGCGCTGCTAGCACTACTGCCGCCAGAGGCTGCTGCTCATTTGCAGGACGCGTCGCTAGCTACTACTGCAAACGCTGCACAGAGAGCGACCTCGACTGTCGCGTGTCTCGAGGAGCTCGATCGGCAGTCCGCTGGACCCGTGCAACACAGCAGCTCCTTCGTTCATGCCAGCAGCGGCGACGATGCCGATGTGGTTTGCTGCCACGCCCTGTTCACGCGCGCGCGAGACGTGTCAAACGCGTGCTTGCCCACCACACGAAGATCGATCGGTCACATCTTTCACATTATAATTCCGAGAGAGAGAGATGGCCCTGTTCACGCGCGCGCGAGACGTGCAGACAGTTGTTTGTTCTGTTTGTTCTGTTTGTTTGGCACTTGTGACGAGGCATGGTTAGGCGAGTGGCAGTCGCTGGTGCGGACTTGCTGAGTCGTGTGTGCTCCTTTTTGCTTGCTAAGACTGGAACATTAAAAACAAATGTCTCGCACAGCACTCAGGTTCGAAGACAATATACCTAAAACTCAGGTTAGAAGAGCCAAAGAGGGAAGAAGAGACCATTGGGTTTGTACTATTAACAACGAAGGCGCTCTCAAAAAGAAGAATTCGATAAGCCGCACTCGACCGAAAACCCCGCCGCTCCGCGCCGCGAGGCACGCCTTTGCCGATGACGTTCCCCGACGAGTGGGGCCCCGGCGGCGGCGACGGCGGCCCGACCGAGTCGAAGCTTGTCCCGCTCTCGATGCAGAGCAACGAGGCGCTCCTCATCAAGACGCTGCTGGCGCGGAGCTGCCCGAGCGCAAAGCTGAGCCGCGTGCAGCGCGTGCAGAACAAGCTGCTGTGGCGCGCGTACGCCAACTATCGCGACGACCAGCTCGTCCACACTTGCGCCGGCGGCGACGTCAGCAACGAGATGCTCCTCTTCCACGGCACGGCGGAGCGGGCGGCGGAGGATGTGCTCGCGCATCAGAACGGGCTCGACCCGCGCTTCTCGAACGGCGGCTTTTACGGCCAGGGCATCTACCTTGCGGAGGACCCGTCCTACCCGATCGGCGGCCGGTACGCGCACCGCATCTCCGGCTCGGGCGGGAGCCGCGTGCAGCTGCTCATCGTGAAGGCCGCCCTCGGCTCGCAGCAGGAGATGGGGCAGCGCATCAGCGCGGAGACGAGGGCGATGCGCATGCCGGACGTGCGCGTCGAGGGCCCTCCCCGACTGCTCTACGACAGCGTGCGCGGCGGGCCGCACCGCCCCTTCGTCTCCGGCGGAGGCGAGAACGGGTGCGACGCGTCCGTTGTGCACATGGGCCCTGTTCACGCGCGCGCGAGACGTGTTGTTTTGCTAATTAGTGAGCTCGATTCACACAACAAATTGGAAGTTGGCAGGGACTGGCGCGCGTCCTCCCATCCCTCCCTTGGGTTGTCTGTTTTCTTTCTTTTTTTTGGCGCGCACTGGCACTAACACAGGTACACCACGCAAAAAGAATTCTGCGTTGGGACTGACTGGCACTACATATACTCGTAACACAAAAACAACACTAACCCTAGCGTCGACCGCACGGCCTACTCGCCCAAGTACTCGCTCTCTTTCATGTCCCACCATGCAGAGCGCATCTCTCTCTCTGTTGTGCGAGGCGTGAACCGCGCCATTCGCTCTCACCTGGCAACCCTGTCTGCACGTCTCGCGAGGGATTCTTTTTCCTTCGGCAACGCGATGGCGGCAAGGCCACTTTGCGCGCCCGCCTCGTCACGCAGAAAACCAACGGGCGTCGGACCGCGGTGAGACCGCGCCGCCCTCCGCGCCCGCCCGCGCCCGCAGCGTGAACACATACGCGCGTCCCTCGCCGCACGGAAACATACGCGCCAGCCGCGCACACAGCCTCACATGCAGCGCAGACCGCATGCCCGCGCCCTGGGCCGCCGACGACCCGGTCGGGCGGGCTGCGCGGCCGCCGCACACCACCAGGCAGGCGCACGAACACCCGCAGCGCGCCGCAGCCCACCGCGCAGCCCTGCCAGCCAAGCCTGCGCCTCCCAGCTGCACAAACAGGGCGCACAACAGAATACAGCACACAGTGCACACACCGGCAGCGCGCGCGCAGCACACGCAGACGCGCGCGCGACCGCAACACGCACACGTACACAGCACGCGCGCGTCGCACGCCAGCGCAGCGCCACACACAGAGCACACTTCCCATCAGCAGCAGCAGCCTGCCACAATCCACATCTCACACACGGCCCTGTTCACGCGCGCGCGATTTGTTTTGTCAGGGATGACGTCACTGCATAAATAAATAAATCTGTGGATAAAACGGGCACGCCAAACGAGGGGTGGGGGAAGGACAAGGTCCCCACCTGCACGAGCAGGATCTTGTAAGGACGATCAGGGACACAGGGGAACGGGAGCGGGGAGCGCAGGGGACTACTCCAGTTCAGTTCGCGAGAGAGAGAGAGAGAGAGAGAGAGAGAATTCTTGATACGAAACCACGACGACACACACCAGTCGACTCGCATCGGTTGCCTCCATGAACGGCGGAGCTATTCTCGCGTCCTCTCTCTCTTCAGTTCGCGTTTCTTGTATCAGAGCTTGCGCGCAAAGCTGCGGCACCTCAACTCAATGAGCGCGGAGGAGCTCCTCCTCAGCAACACCGCTCTCCTGAGCGAGGAGACGGGCGGCGGGCGGCTCGACGTGTCGTGGCAGGTCGTCCAGTACGTGCCGCTGACGTCGACAGGCCGCGTGCAGTCGGTGGCGCTCGCCGACTGCGTCGGTGCCTCCGCCGAGCGCAGCGAGCTGGTGCTGCATTGCGTGACGCTGCACGGCGGCGGCTGCCTCGGCTCTCCGCACCGCGAGCCCTCTCAGGCCAGGATGCCCTGCCGCGACGGCGGCCAGGCCGAGCGGTGGGCAGCAGCGGTGTGGAATATCATGCACGGCGTGGCTCCCGACGCGCCGCCGCCGCGTCAGAAGCGGTGGCTGGTGCTGATCAACCCGGTGTCGGGCCCTGGCCACGCGCGGCGCGTCTACGCCCGCTGCCGCCCCCTGCCCCTGCACAATGATGTTTATGGTGGTTTAAAGTTTGCGGGGGGGGGGGGACAGCTTTGCGCGGTCGAATTCAATTTTGGGGGGTTTACGACGGTTTTGGGGATCCTGCCGACGCGCTACAGTTGTAGCCCCACTGCACATAAGATGGACACCTCACCGGGAGGGCCCTCGCAGCAGCCGGGGCCGACGCCTGCAGCCTTAGTCTTGGCCCGATCCGGCGGTATGCCACGGGTAGGCGCGTTGCGGCTTGCCGCCTCCTCTGCGCCAACGCGGCCTGTGCCGCAGTTTGCGATTGCCGCCAGACAAGAGGAGGAGCAGAGCCGTTTGGCGATAGGGCCAGGCAATCGCATGCCCCGTGGGCGTTGCGGACCCTAGCACGCGCCAGTCCGCACCTGTGTCGATCGAGCCTGTCTGGGGCACAGTGGTCATAAGTGGAACGACTACGTCGATAAGCAAGCTGACCTCGGCAGGAGCGGCGCGAGGGATTGCGGCGCTCCGGAGTGGCAAGACGCATCTATCCCAACGGACGCAGACGACGGGGAGAGCAGCACCGTGGGCGACGACGTGGTTATTAACGGAGGAGGTACAACCATCCCACTCGACGACATCGGTGATGGGGCCTCTAGGTCTAGCTACGCCGATGACCCACCCGACTCCCCGCCCTGTTCACGCGCGCGCGAGAGGTCTTTGCTCACATCGGGCTGGAGAGAGATAGGATTGTGTATCGCGCGCCTTGCGGGGGGGGCGCGGATTCCTACCTATGTCACAGGAAGGACTGTGGTTGCAGGAGAGTACCACCAACCATCACTTCAGTTGGTATAGTACCCCACCTTCACCCATCCGGTGATTTCTTTTTTAGTTTCCCATAAGTAGGGTAGGTAGGTAGGTAGGTAGGTAGGGGCACCGCAGGAGGTTTTTCCAGAATTTCAGCATCAGGGCCGCCCAAGCAAAAAAAGAATACACCTGCTCCCGGCGCCCAAGCTGGGGCGCCCTCTCGCGCGCTATATATCGCTCGGTCACCGCCCGTGGCGTTCGCCTGCGACGCCGCTTTCGCTGCCGTCGTCCTAATGCACGACTACGCCCTCCTCACGACGGCAGGCCTCGAGTCTGTCGCCCTCGACGCCCTCGCGAGCGAGTGCGGGCTGCGGGCCAGCGCGCTGCCCGCCCCGACCGCCCGAAAGGGCGAGTCGTTTGGCTCGGCGGGTGGCCTCGGCATCCTCGTCGCGTCCCGGCAAGAGCCGCTCGCTGCGCGCGCCCTCTCGGCGCCGGTGCTGCAGGCGGCCCTCGCCGTCGTGGTGCGGTGCGAGGTGGAGGATGGCGACGTTCTCGCCGCTGCCGTTGGGAGCGTGAGCGAGGAGCGCTGGCGGTCGGCGATGCGCACGCACGCCGCGCACGCCGCTCCTCTCCCCCCCTCCGCGCCCTCCTTCCGCATCGCTTCGCTCCGCGCCGGCCAGCACGACTTTGACAGCCGCGCGCTGAGCAGCGCGCTCGGCGCAGCCGTCAGCGCGCTGCAGCCCTCGTGGCGGGTCGACCTCGAGGCCCCCGACGTGTGCGTCCTCGCGCTGCTCGTCAACCGCTCGCTCCTGATTGGCGCGCTGCTGCCTCCCTTTTCGCCCCGCAAGTCAGACCCGCTGCCGATGGAGCCGAGGCAGTGGCTCGTGCGCGGAGAGCGGGCGCACATGCGGCCGCACAGGGCCGCGCTGCTCGCCCGCCTCCTCGCGCCGGCGAGCGGCGAGGTGCTGCCCTGCTCGCCTCGACTCGCCCCCTCGGACGCTTCCCCGGAGCCGTCTCCCGGTAGGCGGACGGCGAGGTTCTCCTCGACCCGACGGGCGGCGTCGGCACGCGCCCCTGCGCACTCTCTCTCTCCCCACAGCTCTCTTCACTCTCTCTCCACAGCCCTCGCGCCGCGCGCAGGCATCCTCGCCATCGAGGCGGCGCTCCTCGCCTCCGTCACCGCCCACTCTGTCGACCTCGACCCTGCGGCGTGCGACGCCGCGCGCGCAAACGCCGCCGCCGCCGCGCCGCGCCTGCGCGGGAGGGTGACGGTGCACTGCGGCGACGCGGCGCGGGGCGGGGGGGAAATGAGTGCCGTCTCCACGGCCCCTCGCGCGGTGACGCGCCGCTCGGAGGAGTAGGCGCGGCTGGGGGGAGAGGTGGGCCTCCCTCGCGCGAGCGTGGACTGCGTGCTCGCCGACCTGCCGTTCGGGACAGCTCCTAGACACTTCCTAGACACTTCCTAGACCTGCCGTTCGGGACAGCTCCTAGACACTTCCTAGACACTTCCTAGACACTTCCTGAGATGCGTAGCCGGCCTGCCGTCCGGGACGCTGCACCGCCCGGCTCGACGCCCAGGGAGGGGTGCAGCACCACCCACCACACGAGATGGCATGAGTAGGATGCTGCACGCCCGGCTCGACGTCGGCGCCCTCCTCTCCGCCCTCGCGGTGCTCGTCCGGCCCGGCGGCCGCTGCCTGCTCGTCGGCAACGCGGGGCCGGGAGGCGTCGGCCGCGGTGCGGCCGTCGAGGTGTTGGGAATGAGCCATCAAGGAGTCGTTAGTGAACATCGACGTTAGGCGTCGCCGCCGCGGTGGTCAAGGCGTCGCGCCGCTACCCGCCCGGCGCGTGGCGGGTCGTGCGGCAGACGGCGTGCGCGTCGGGAGGGATCGCGTGCGAGGCTGTGCAGCTGGCGAGGCTGGGAGAAGCAGCGCCGCGCCTTGGGCGGCTCGAGAAGGCTCGCGGCAAAGTTGTGTTCGAGCCCTACTAATTCACTACTAAGTCACTACTAATTCACTACTAATCAACTACTAATTAGGCTCGCGGCAAAGTTGTGCTCGAGCCCGGCTTCGGCCTGGCCGCGTGGCTGCGGCTGAGCAGGGGCGCGGACCTCACCGGCGGAGTCGGGCCGCTCGACGAGGAGGAGGAGGAGGCGTGGCCGAAGTGGTCACTCGCCGACGTGGCCTCGCACACCACGCCCGAGGACTCGTGGATGGCGGTTCGCGGCAAGGTGTACAACGTCTCGCCCTACCTCCGGTACCACCCGGGAGGTGTGGACGCGCTTCTCGACGCGGCCGGCACGGACGCCACAGCCCTCTTCCAACAGCACCACGCTTGGGTGAACGAGGACATGCTCTCTGCGTGCTGCGTGGGCACCCTGAGACAGTAGTCAGACGGTGAGACAGTGAAGCAGTGGTGCGGTACGGTGTGTACTAGGATCTAATCTAGCGGCGCGGGGCGTTTCCCACACCCGGGCCCCCTACCGGTCAGTACGGCTCTAGCCGCTGCCCGGGTCGGGCGGATGGGGGGGCTGAAGGGAGAACCGACCAACACGCACGGCATTTTCAACGACGAGAGTCGAGACAGACTTCACCCCCTGTGGTCAGGTCCATCCTACAGCATGCTCTACCTAACACCACCAACAGCTCTTGCAGCGCTCAACACATCTCTCTCTCTCTACACCAGCTCACAGCTCACACGGAGTGCTCTCCACTCTGCATCCTCTACACTCGTGACTGAACCCGGCCGATATACAGACGATGACATCTTGACTGCGACAGAGCCTGGAGCACTCCGTGGTCCGTGTGAGGTAGAAAGGTGAAGAACAGTCTAGCTCGGACTGGACACCAACGCGTTCTGAATGGGTGGACGCGGGACAGAAGACGACGACACGCGCGAGCGACACACAGACACACAAACTCACAAGACACTCAGCTGGGCTGCCTCACATCCCGAGTGAGCCTGCTCCTGCTCGCCCTCGCCGCCCACGGAGCCGCGATCACGGGCGCTGCCGTCGCCGTCGTCGGTGCTCTCGCGCTCGCCGCCAGTCCAGGCCGCGCTCGCCTCGGCTGCGCTGGCCCCAACTCTGTCGCCGCGGCGCGCCACGCTGTCGACGCAGCACGCTGCTTCGCCGTCGATGCCGCTGCAGCCCTCTGCCGCACCGCCGGCCGCGGCGCCCGCTTCGTCAGTCGGGCAGTCGCCTCGCCGTCACCGGCCTCTGCTCCCTCGACGCAATCGCCGCCACCGGCTTCCCCCTCAGGGCCCCTCCGTTCGGCCTCCCCACCCTCGATTCGGAGGGGCTCCCCTCTCCTCCCGGTCCTCCTCCCGGCTCGCTTTCCGCTGGTTGGGCAGCGGCTGCGGAGCCCGCCTTCCCCTCTTATACTTCTTCGGCCGCGGCCCCGTCGCCGTCTCGTCCTCTCTGCCTGATTCCGTTGACCCTGCCGATGGCGATCCCGTGCCCAACTCCCCGGGCGAGGGCGGCGGCGTTGGGTCGTGTCGCCGCCCCTCCCCGGGAGGACGGGTCATCGCTCCCTGCCGTCCCTGGTCGACGAATCGCGCTCGCACCCGCGGCCTCTCTATTAATATCGTACTCGGCTCGCCCCCCCCCTTCCGCCGACTCCTCATCGATCTCGGGGAGGCGTGGCCCCCTTGCCGTGGTTCACGATGGTCCGGCTGCCGCCGCGACGGGTCTATACCCCCGGTGAGCTCGTATGTCCCGACTCTCCACTCGTAGTGCGCAGAGGCCGACTGGCCGAGCCAGCTCGACTCTCACCCCCTCCGACAGTTGACTCCAGGTCGCACTCGGGGCCCTCCGGTCTTGGCCTTCCGGTTCGCCGACAGACCCGCTGTCGTCTCGCGGCACCTCCCCTCCCTCGGTCCCCTCCCTCGGGTAGCCCAGCCTCCGACGGGGGCGGCTCCGGGTTCCCCATGAAGGTTCGTGTGGGTCCGGGCGGTGGCGGCCACGCCGGCGGCGGGGGTGGAGGCGGTGGCGGAGGGGGCGGGTACGGTGGCGGTACTGGCGGCCGCAACACCTGGTGTGGAGCCTCGGGGGCGGCCCCATGACCTGCGGCCGTTCTAGCCGCTGCTCCACGCGCCGATCGTCTACCACCCTCCGGGGGGGGGACCTAGCCCTTGCTTCCCACGAGGTGGGAGGGGAGCAGGACCCGGACTCGCCGCTGGCCCCGCCGCGCCTCTCCTCCCCTTCGCGCCACACTAGGTCGTAGGCTGTGCATCAGTCGCGTCGCTTCCTCATTCACCCGATCTCTCTCGATCCATCTGTGAGGACGACGGCTTCTATTATTAGAAGCCGTCGTCCGCGCTTTGCCTGTTGTGTGAATCGTCCTTTCTCGACTGTCTGAGCTTGTGCGTCTTGGTTTCCTTGTGTTTTTGTGTGAATCGTGCAGAAAGAAAGAAAGAAAACACACAACCCAAGGGAGGGATGGGAAACCTGGTTTGTGGAGCTCCCACACATGTCTAGACAGCCCTGAGCCTGTCCAGACAGTGTCCAGACAGCGTCCAGACAGCGTCCAGACAGCGTCCAGACAGCGTCCAGACAGTGGCACATGGCTCCACTATTCACAGTAAAGTCTCGTAGTCGTGGCTGGACGACCCCTGACAGCACCCCTGGCGCTGCCGAGGCCACTCCCCACCCACCCACCCACCCACCCACATGCCGCTTTCTTTACTTGCCATTGGGGGGGGGGGGTGCGTCTAGACAGCAGAACTAAGAGAACTTGAGAACTTGAAGTTTGAACTTGTAGTTTTGTCTTGACAGCTGTCTAGACAGCTGTCTAGACAGGCCCTCTTCACAGAAGGGTTCCCCCAAAAGTGCCCGCGAAGAGTCAGAGCAGCAACGGTGGCGGCAACTGTGGAAGGCAACGCCGACGTCGCAACGATGCTGCGGAAAGGGCAGAGCAAGCGTGGGCACGCATTGGTCGGGTTCCATGCTGCAGCCGCGAGCCCCGCGCCGCCGATGAAGAAGCTGCGGGCCGGCAGTAGCCACGCCGACCCGCCGCTGCGCATTGGGCAAAGCGCGAGCCCAGCAGTTCAGTCAGGCACGCACGCTGCACCCACGACGGCGGCCTCGGGGCGCGCGCGACCGAACGCGCTTGCGCCGCCGCCACGCCGTCCTTTCCCATCGCCGCCGGACCGCCCTCCCTCCTCCGCGACAGACGCCGCAAACACGGCGCTTCTCGCCGCCCAAGCAACAGCAGCAACAGTGGCAGCGAATCTTCGCTCACATTTGGCTGACGTGTTGTTGAGTATCAGAGTATGATTCCTGTCTGCAGGTCTATTCACACCTCACGCGATCTTCCATGTCCAGACAGCGTCCAGACAGCGTCCAGACAGCGTCCAGACAGTGTCCAGACAGCGTCCAGACAGCAAAATCGGAGCGTCTAGACAGCTATTCAGACAGTACTAGCACTTGAGTGTACACAGCTGATTGAAGTAAAGGGGGATGATGCAGCTGCCTGCCAGAGCAGAAAGATTCCTGAATTCTCTCCACTACAAAAAAAGTCCAGTGCGGAACCGAGATCATGGCCCCGAATGCCGTGCTCTCTAGGTAATGTGTGGGAGCTCCACAAACCAGGTTGGGAGAACGGCACGCCGCCACCACACAGGGATTTTAAGGAGAGGAGGGTGTGGTGCGCTAGCCGTCGCCCACCCTGGGGGGTCTGCCTCTTCGTATCTCTTTTCGCAGTCTCTCGCCGCTTCTCGCTGCAACCTTCATGCCACCTCGCGGCCGTCCCACTCTCGTCGGTCTCTCCCTTGTCACTTCCTCCTCTGTCGCGTCGTTCTCTTCTGCCTCGTCCTGCGACGCCGCCGCCTGCCGGTCCCTTGTTCTCGCGGCTTCTTTCGCCTTGCGCAACTCCGTCCTCCTCGCGGCGTATCCTGGCCCCTCGAGTCTATCAAGCTCCCCTCGCGCAAGGACCACATTTCTGACTCCCACTCCGATCATTTGCCTACACGTCATGTTGTTGCTCAGGTCCACTCTCTCTTCGAACACTCGTGCCTCTACGGATGATGCTGGCGCTGGGGTCCCCTTCGGATGCATCGTGACATCTGACGACTGAATTTCCACTGGTTCGTCCTCCTCTGAGTCATCTTCCCCGTCCTCCTTCCGCTCGGCCCTTCGCTCGGTACGTTCGGTGTGGCTCACCCTCCATGCCGTGAACAGGCGCTTTATCCACCCTATATTCTTCTCTCGTTCCTCTGCCCGTGCCTTGGTCTTGTCGTTGTTTCGCACCCATGTCTGTATGGCAATCGAGGCTGCCTTCCCCACTACCTGTAGTTCATCGTGCGTGTGCGATGGAGCTCATCCGAAAATTCTTTATTCTTGAAGCAGAATTCTTGAAGCGGAAATTTACCGCGAGGGAACCCCCGACATGGCGCTCTCCGTCGTGCTCGCCGCCGTTGCTGTCGCGACTCCCAGAGCCGCGCTGCTAAACGCAATCGCGCCGCTCGACCGCGGCTTCTCTGCAAAGCCTGCGGACCGAAAAGCGGTGGCGGCGGCGATAGACGTGCTGGCAAAGGCCGCGCCGGCGCAGCAGGCCGTCCCCGACATTGGCGGCGACTGGGAGCTGGTGTACACCGACGCGCCCGATATCCTCGGCCTCGATGCGCAGGCGGGGCCTTTCGTGCGGTGCTCGCGGATCGGGCAGCGGATCAGCGAAAGAGAGGGCACGATCGAGAATGTGATCGAGTACGAGCCGCGTGAGTGGGCGACCTCGCTCTTCTCCAACCTCAAGGGCGACCGGCTGCAGCAGCGCGTGGTCACCTCCTTTGCTCGCCGCGAGGGCAAGCCAGCGACCGTCGACCTCAAGATCCGGGGCGTGCGGCTGCTGCCGAGGCAGGCGCTGGGCGTGTCGCTCGAGAGTGCGCCTCCGCTGCAGTTGCTCGGGCCGCTCGAGCCGCCCTTCGGCTCTTTCGAAGTGCTCTATTGCGAGGGGCCTGAGGGGCCGCCCCTCGCAGAGGGCGACTCTGCGGCCGACGAGTCCCTCGACCTTCTCTGCAGGCAGGCCTCGCTGACGTCCCTCGCCCTCACTCCCCGCCACAGCCCTTGCGGGCCTCTCGGCCGCACGCCCCCAACACCACCCCCGCCGCCACCCAGCCTCCCTCACTCGGCCCCACTCGGCCTCACATCGGCCTCGCTCCCGCACAGCATGGACGAGCTTGCCGGCTTCGGCAACTGCGCCTCCATCAGAGTGGTGCGCACGCAGCAGGGATACTTCTCGATCAACCGGCGGGTCGGGCCGGGAGAGGGCTGGGGCGCAGACTAGCGTGTTGAGTGTGTGGCGATGCGGGGAGGGCGAGGGTGGGCCTAGGGGTGGGCGGTCCGGTGCGCGAAGAAGTGACAGGATGTGACAGTGAGGGGGTGGCGACCTCCAGCTCTCCGGCAGCCGCGGCGGAGCGCGGGGTGGATTACGAGAGTTTATACGTGTGGGCCGCACGAGGTGCTGACTACTGTTTGTGCAGGACATGAGATGTTATTGTTGTACATACATGGACATGGAGATGACACACGACAAAATCAAAACGAAAAAGAAAATGAAAACTCTCCGAAGAGGCCGCACAGCTCCGCGCAGCCCCAGACGAAGCCGCGGCGGGCCTGCGCCGTAGCCACACATACCTCGTACGGCTCACGTATCTCTAGGGCTATCTCTTACGCACGTCCCTGGCGCACATCTACGGCCTGATAGCACTTCGCGCAGCCCCCCCCCCCCCCCCGCCCCCTTCTGCCCGCCCCCGCGCTCCCCTCTCCCTAAGACCGCCTGACGCCTGTGCCAGTCCTCCCAAGGGAGCTCCCACACACGGCCGCGCCTAGATCATCTCCGCGACGCGCGCGCGCAGCGCCTCCTCGTCGAGGATCGGCTCACTCGAGCGCGGCCCGACCAGCGCCGCCAGCGCGAGGTACCAGGTGAAGAGCCCCTCGGCGGTGGTCGCCGCGAAGTCGAGCGTGCGCCCACGGAAGAGGAGCGAAAAGCAGAGCCAGTCCCGGTCCTTCTTGGCGCCCTGCGCGCGGTAGAAGGCCGCGCTCTTGGCGCCGTGCATCAGCGCGACCGCCTTGGAGAGCGCCATCATCGACTTGCACTCCTTGGACTTGGTGTCGCCCCAGCAGATGGCGCTGCCGTCCGCAGAGATCCGCACCCACCGGGGGCTCGACCGGCCGTCGCGGTGGTTGAACTTGATCAGCGTGCAGCCCGCCTTGGCCGCCGTGAAGTGCTCGAGCGCCGTCTTCCGCGCCACCATCGCAAGGATCGCAACCTACGGGCGGGCACCGGGGCACTCGGCGCTCGGTGGCGTTGGCCACAGCCGGCGCGACACAGGGCCGCGACCGCGTCGAAGGAGCTCGGTCGCCGCTCCGGCTGGCAGGCGCGCACCGCCCGCTGCACCTGTGGGACATGGACAAAGTGCATGTCGACGGGTGTGCATGTTGTCGTGGACGTGCCCCGCCCCGCCCGCCGCACCTCCTCGAACCACTCCCCCGTCTCGGCCTCCGACTCGCCGTGCCACGTGTACCCCTTGCCGTGCCCGTCGACGACGGCGAACCCGTGCGTCAGGTGCTCCGTGCGCGGCAGCCGCTCGACCTACGGGACGTGCGATGGGGGGGCGAGATGGGGGGCGGCACGTCTGGGACGTGTCTGTGCGCCGGGTGCTGCGTGCGCGGCGACTCTCTCTCTCTCACCCGCGTCCCCTCGCCGAGGGGGATCTGGCCCTTTTGGACGTAGCCGCGCCCGGTGGGCACGCCGTACACGAGCAGGTCGGAGAAGAGGAAGACCTAGAGAGGACACGTCCAAGACACGTCCCCCCGACGCGTGCCGCAGAGGGAGACGAGCACGGGACGCGGAGGAGAGGACGGCCTTGCGCCGCTGCCGGTGCGCGAGCCTCACCTTGGTGAGCTCGCCCTCGCGCACGAAGGCGCGCCCCTGCCGCACGAGGCTCTTCTCGAGCACCTGAGCGGCGCAGCCGTCCGGACGTGTCAGGGCGCGCGTGTGCTGCAGGAGCGCGCCCCCCCCCCCCCCTGGTCGCGTCTTCCCGAGCCTCCGGCTGCGCGAAGCGCCGCGCGATCTCGCGCAGCTTGCAGAGCGTGGCCGACACGCGCGTCTCCTCGTTGATGAAGGCGGCCACCTGCGCGGCGGGGTTCAGAACGGAGGCTTGATGGGGTGTGGCTCGCCGCATCTCCTTGTCGGCGTGCGAAGGCGGCACCTCGCGGATGCGGGCGAGCGCCTCCCGCAAGTCCGCCTCGTCCGGGTGGCCCGGCTCGGTGTGCGCAAGCAGCTCCTCGAGCAGCAGCCTGCGGGGAGGGGGGCGCCGCCGCGGCGGAGCGGGGTGGCGCGAGGCCGCGCAGGTCGACAGAGCTCCATCTGGGGAGGGGCTCACCGGTAGCGCGGCACGCGCTGGATGGGCTGGATGAGGAAGGAGCGCACGTCGAGCCCTCCCGCGTCGGGGTGCGACTTGCACACCTCGAGGTAGCGGTGCTTGTCGGGCGCCTTGCTCGCGAGCGCGGAGATGTGCGCCTCCGCCTGCGCGTAGTTGGAGATGTACCTCGTGTAGCAGCCCTTGATGTCCTTGGCCGCGCCCGAGAGGATCGCGCCAAAGTGGCCGCTCGCCTCCTCCTGCTCGAGCCGCTCAAGAAAGCGGGCGTGCAGCTTCAGGAGGACGTCCAGATTAAGGAAGACCGTGTCCAGGTCCGCGTGCGAAAAGATGGCAACCTTCGCTCCCGCGTCGGCGACCATACGCATCGGGACCATGTAAACCTTCTCGAGCGTCTGGAGCGCGGCCACATACGTCCGCTCCGTCGACAGGATCTCGCCCAGGACCCTGCGGCGTCGCTCCTCTCGCTGCGCCGAGGAGGGCTCTGCCGCCGCCACAGGAAGCGGCGGCGGAGCACCCAATGAGAGGGGCGGCGGCCCGCCGGCAGGAAGAGGCGGCGGCCCGCTGAGCGAGGCGCGGACAACAAAGAGGTCCTCCTCGGGCGCGTCGACATCGTCCTCGTCCTCCAGTGGGAGCGAGCTGCCGGCCCGGGAGCGGCGTGCCGAGTCCTCCGACGAATCGTAGCCCTCGCCGCAAATCCAGCGGTCGGGCTGCTCCCAGCTCGTCTCTCCCGTCGCCGGCCGGTGGTAGTAGTAGTCGCTGGACGCCTCGTCCCAGTAGCGAATCCAGTCGCTGGCGGCGGCCGGAGTCGCCATCAGAGGCGAGTCAAAAGAAGTTGACGGACGCGATAGAAACCAGGACGATCGCGGGCAGCAGAAGCAGCGGTGGCACCGAGGATGGTGGCCGCGATTGGCGATCGAACTTCAGCTGGTTTTTTTCTTTTTAAGAGCTTTTTTTCGTGCCTGTGCGACCACTTTCGGTGGTAAAATTCTTTTCTCGATACGTAAAACAATACGGCGGAGTGCGTCGCTGGTGCAGCTGGTGCCGCGCCCGCACGCGCGCGACGGTCGCGCTCTGGATGAGAGAGTGAGAGAGACCCCGCACCCCCCTGCATGGGTGCGCGCGTGGCTCCTGGCCCGCGCTGCCGGGGTCAATCCGCGATCGAGTAGTTGCGTGTCACCCGGCCGTGTGTCCCTCCGGTCGAGAAAAGAAGCGCCGGTGGAAGCGCGCGTTGCGATCAATGCGCGGCATACGGAGTGGTGAGCGCCTCCTCCTCCTTGACCGGGCGCCGAACCACCCAGAACTTGTGGCCGCCCGCCGCGAGCATCGCGGCCACGGCCACCGCGAAGCCCGCGGCGCCGGCGGCGAGGAGCTGCACCCTCGAGGTGGCGGGCGCGGCGGGCGGCGCTTGGAAGAGCGACGGCTGCTCGCTCTGCAGGAGGCTGAGGCCGGCCCAGCCAATCGGCCAGGTGCGGGTCGGCCGCTGCGACGCGTCCATGCTCGTCGCGCGCAGCCCGTCATTGTAGTCGCCCAGCAGGCCCCGAGGGCCGTCGAGGCGCTCCTCGAGCTGGCCAAAGCTCGGGACCGCCCAGTCGCACTGCTCCTCAATCATCAGCGAGTTGATGCCGCGCTCGAGGCGGAACCAGCCGCCCTCGCCCCAGTACGTGCCCCAGGAGTTGCGGATGATCCAGTACTTGACGCCGCTGCGGGTGACGCCCCAGCCGGTGACCGACACGTCGTGGTCGATGTCGTCGGGCGTGTGCTTCGACCGGTCAATGTAGACGCCCTCGTGCTTGCCCGCATTCTGGCTGTAGTTGTGGAGGAAGGGGCCGTCGGAGACGACGCCGCAGACGATGGGCCCACGGGCGAGGATCTCCTTCATCATGGCCTTCTCGCCCGACACCGTGCCGTACTCGGACACGCCGAACCCGGTGAAGGAAGGCACTCCCCAGCAGCCCTCCTTCTTGTCGGACGCGCAGTTGCGGCACACCCCCGCGAGGTTGCACACGCCGTTGCGCGCCTCGTACGGCTGGCACGTCTCGTCGCCCACCGTGCTGTTGGTGAGGTATGAGTGCACCATCCACGCGTCGCCCCCGTTGCAGCCGGGCGGCGGCTTGGACTTGTTGCGAGAGTCGTCGGGGATGCAGTTGATCAGCGCCTGGCGTGAGAGCATCACGTCGGGGAAGGCGCCGCCCCGCATCACCTTGACGCGGTCGTTGAGCGCGGCCACCGTCCCGTGGACCCAGCACGAGCCGCAGTACTCGGGTATGTGCTGGTTCACATCGGCGGTCACGTAGCTCTTGCCACCCACGTCGCGCCAATCGTGCTGCGCGGGGAGGTAGTGCTCCTCGATGTGGTACTCGGGGAGCGGGCTGCGCACGAGAGAGAGCAGCTCCGCGGGCCGCCGCGCGTGGCTCGACGCGTGGCCCTGGCGCGAGGCCGAGAGCGTAGCGACGACGAACATAAAACAGATCTCGCCCCGCGGGCTGTCGGTGCTCCCGCCCGACGCTTATTTTGTGTTGATTATGGCGCTTCGTTTCATCGTTATTGAACGAAGCGCGGCGGTTCTCGGCGGGCGAAAGTTCGCCGACGGTTCGGAGACAAGGGTGTGGCCTCGGTACGATGCGGCCGTCGCCAGAGCCAGAGCTTGAGAAAGGAGTGGCCGTGTATAAGTTAAGGAGTGGCCGCGGGCGCTCGACGCCACGGCTCTACCCCAGAACTGTGGGGTAGAGAAAAAGAAAAACCCCCATGCGTGTGAGAGGCTTACCGAATTCTTTTTCTCCCACGCCCGGGCGTTTCCTCTGGTCGCAGTCCGGCCTGCTTCCACAAGCCAGCGCGCTTCCGGCCGGATGCTCGCCGATCCCGCGGACGCGCCCTTCTTCACGCAGGCCGAGGTGCTGGTCAACACGAGCGGCACCGGGTGGAGCGTGCGTGGCACCGGCCGCGTCATGTGGCAGCAGGTTGATGAGCGCCAACAGAGGCTTGTCGTCGCCCCGCCGCTCTCCTCTCCTGCGGACTGTCACGCGTCGTCGCTCGCTGCTGTGACGCTCCCCGACGCCGCCATCCGATTTTCCCTGCCGGTGGACACCGTGCTGCACGCGCTCCCGATCGACGGCGACGAGTGGGCGATGCACTTCGACACCGCCGAAGAGGCCTCTGGCGTGTGGGAGGACATCGTGATGCTGCAGGCGGCGGCTGGGGTGGTGACGACGGCGGCGGGCTCGGCCAGCGGCGCCGCGGTTCCCGCGCCGCTGCCCGACCCCGCAAGCGAGGGCGGGCTCTGCGAGCTCGAGCGGCTCCTCGGCTCGCTGCTCTACTCGGACAACTACTCGCCCCCCGAGGAGCCGCCCGGCGGCTCGCTGCTCTCCGCTCTGGGCATCGTGGCCGAGTCGGCGGGCGGCGAGGCGGACGACTACATCGCCTCGATCGCCTCCGCCTTCGCCGCCGCGGAGGCGTCCAGCGGCGAACCGCCCGCCGCCTTCGGCCGCGTGGCCTCCCTTCTCCTCGCGCTCGCAGACGCGCGCCCGCGGCGGCTCGTGGCGCAGCTGCCGGCGGCGTCGCCTCACGGCTGCGGGCTGCAAACAGGCGCCTGCGCTGCGGCGGCTCATGAAGGACGACGGCGCGTCCTTTGTCTTTGGCGCGCTGGAGCACGAAACGCGCGCGCTGCTACACGTGGAGACAGACGCCGCGAACACCGCCTTCCGCGCCCGCCTCGCCTCGCCCGCCTGGCCGCCCTGCCCGCTGGCGTGGGAGGACGAGGAGGGGCTCGCGCTCGTGCAGGCCCTGCGCCGGATGCAGCTGCTGCAAGACTCGGTGCCCCGCCGCCTCGCGTCGCCACAGAGCGAGCGACGCCACACCGCCACCCGCCCCGCCCCTCCTCGCAGGTCCTGCCGCTCCTGCCCAGACTCGCAGAGCACGGCGCCGCGCCTGCCCCGCCGCTGCCCTCGCCCCTCGCCCGCAGTGGCGGACGCCGCGACCCCCTCCCCGCGCAGGCGTCGCCGACGTAGTGAGCGCAGCCGCGCAGGGCAACGCCCATGCAGTCGTGGCAAAGCTGCAGCAGGACGAGCCGCGTCCTCTCCCCGCCCTGCCCCCGAGGCCGGACACGGAGGTTAGCCGAGATTGCCCGAGGTTAGGACGAGCCCTTCCTCTCCGCCCTCCTCTCCAGCCTCCGCCACCACGCGCGCGGCGGCGACGGCGCGGCGCTGCTCCAGCTCTGGTCCCGAGATGTAGCCGAGATGTAGCCGAGAGGTAGCCGAGAGGTAGCCGAGAGGTAGCCGAGAGGTAGCCGAGAGGTAGCCGTGGTACAGGAGGCGCTGCTCTGGCCCCCTGCTGCGCGAGCCGGCACCGCTCTCCTCTCCCCATCCTCTCGCCTCCCCTCGGCCGCAGGTCCTTGGTCCGCGAGCTGACTGCGCTCGCCTCCGGGTGCGATTCGACTTGCGACGCGCCTTCGCCTCTCTCCGACCGCACGGGCCGAGCCCCCCTTGCCGCCGTAGGCTCCACCCGATCGAGCGGGCCCGCGTCTACCGCCGCCTCACCTCGCTCGGCCTCCTCGCCGCCGCACGATCCACGCTCGGCGCGGCATCCGCCCCCGCCGGCGCGCATGTGCGCTGCTGCGACGTCTTGTCGGCGGTCTGCAGCCACGACCCGTCCCTCCTCCGGAGCGACGAGGTCGCGCAGCTGAAGGCGGGGCCGCCGGAGGCTGGGCTGCCACCCGCCCCCGAGCAGGCAGCCGCAGCATCGCAGGCCGACGCGTCGCACCTCCCCGACGCGTCCGGCGGCACCGCGGCCCCTCCACCTCCCGCCGCTGCGGCCTCCACCTCCCAGCTGCTCGCTGCTCGCCTGTGCGACACCGCCGACGAGGGCGTGGCGCGCCAGGCCGCAGGTGCGCCCCCCCCCCCCCCCTCCCCCCCACCCACCCACCCACCCACCCACCCTTTGCCCACGCCCTTGAGCTCGCCCTTGTCTCTGCCCGCAGAGCTGCTCGGCGCCCTCCTCGACCCCTCCTCGATGGAGGAGGCCGAGGTGCGAGGGCTCGCCCCGCAGGCGCGCCACCAAAGCCGTTGCTGACTGAGTCAGCACTGGCCACACAGGCGCCCTTCCTCGCCGCGGCGTACGCGCCCGGCGGCTGCGTCTCCTCCCTGATCCTCCACCTCGGCCACCTCGCTCGTGCCGGCCCAGCCCCCGAGGCCGCGCAGCTGCCGCACTCGCCTCTCCCCGCCGCGGCGGCGGCGCCGGTCCTCCTCGAGCTGCTCCCCCCCCGCTCCGAGATCACTCGAGATCACCCGAGATGACCCGAGGGTGTTAGGTCCTCCTCGAGCTGCTCGCGTCCCTCCTCGGCGCGCACGGCGAGCGAGGCCTCTTCGTCGCCACCTCGCCGCAGCTGTGGCGGTCGCTGAGCGGTCTGCTCGAGCAGCCGGGCCGCGTGCTGCGCTGCTCGGTCGCTCGCTTCGTGCGCGTGCTGCTCGCCGAGGCTGCGGAGGCGGCCCACGCCGACGGCGGCCCGCTCCTCCGCCAGGGCGGGCCGGAGACGGTTCCAGGAAGGGTCACGTGAGGTCGGCGTGTTAGGCGTCGCTCCGCTGGTCGGGCGGCTCGTCTGCCTCGTCGCTGCGGACCGCGGCGGAGGGGGCGGCGTGCGCGACTCGCTCGCAAACTCGGCGGTCCTCTCGCTGCTCGACTCGCTCCTCGCGGCGAGCAGCGAGCCGGGGGCGCGCCACTCCGCCCTGCTCTCCCACCTCGCCTCCGACCAGCGGAGCGAGCTCGAGTCGCTCGCCGCCGAAGCAATCGCCCCCGCCGACGCCCTCCTGCGCGCGCACGTGCCGCCGCCCTCTCTCCTCGGAGCCCGGGGTGGCGCCGCCGGCAGGGAGCCCTAGGCCGCGGGCCCCTTGGGGAGAGGGCCTTCGCTGCTCCGCGACTCGCTCGAAATCGACGGCGGCGGCACCGCGCCTTTCCTACGAGCCATGCAGCAGGCGAGGCGACATGCCGAGCCGACCACCGGCGGGATCGAGAAGCTCTGCTTGGCGTGAGCGGCTTCACGGGCCTGTCAGTCCTGCCCCAGTCTCTCCCCGACGTCTTGGACACGCTCGGACTTCCGTCATGGCACTCACTTTGGTACACACAGGTCCCAGTATCAGCTTGCGCAGCGCGTCGCCGCGTCGTGCCCGGGGGGTGTGCGGCGCTCTCCGCGGTCTCCGCCGTTTGCGTCTCTTTGTGGTTGTTCATTGTGCATGTGCGGCATCGTTGAACATACATGGAAATCTCTGCGCAACATCGGAAGATCCTTGGACTGTAGATCGTAGATGCCTTTTAGAGATCTCTTAAGTGGCAAATCTCCTGCCAAGAGCTGCAGTAGATTGAAGAACTGGTGGAGGCAAATCTTCTCCGGTGTAGATGCTCGAGAGGAGTCTGAGATCTCGCGTTTGGTGCGTGCAGTCGCTTGAGATCTTGCGACAGAGGTGGAGATTCTGACTTCGCGCCAAAGGCGCCTAGAGATCGTGTGGGCCGACTGGAGATTGCAAAATGGCGCGAAAAGAGGGTGGAGATCCTTTTGCATTGTGAATGAGTCCATAGCGCATCTCCTTGAAGGTTTGAGCCCCCCTCCTCCCCCGGGCCCCCGAATCGACAGTGGAGATTGGAGATTGGAGATGGAGATCGGAGATCTGACTGAATCCGGCCTAAGATGACGACGTTGGAGATTGGAGATTGAAGATGGAGATCGGAGATCTGACTGGATCCGGCCTAAGATATAGCGACGCTGGAGATTGGAGAGTACTGGAGAGATGGAGATCGGAGCCCTCCAGCCCCTAGTGGTGTCTCATCGATTTTCTTGTTTTGTTTTTAGATAAAGGTCTGTGCGCGGACGGCCCGGGGAGCCTGCGGCGCCATTTTAATCTGCGCTCCTCTTTATGGCCTGCGGCGCCTGGCTTGAGCTTGGAAGTGTAAACGAGTCCGCCAGGGCGGTCTGCAAACACGAAGCGCGCTGCGCGGCGCGCGCGGTCTACTCCAAACTGGGGGCGGTATCATGGTTCACGCTGCCAACTCGGCAAATAGGCTCGTCGACATAGACCGCGTACATAGACCGCGCGCGCAGCGCGCTCCGTTTGCAGACCGCCCTGGCGGACTCGTTTACACTTCCAAGCTCAAGCCAGGCGCCGCAGGCCATAAAGAGGAGCGCAGATTAAAATGGCGCCGCAGGCTCCCCGGGCCGTCCGCGCACAGACCACAGGAAAAAACAAAAATCTATAAAACATATATCAACACCACTAGGCTCTAGGGGGTGGGTGGGCTCCGATCTCCCCATCTCCAATATTCTCTAATCCACAGCGTCGTCATCTTAGGCCGGGGATCCAGTCAGATCTCCGATCTCCATCTTCAATCTCCAATCTCCAACGTCGTCATCTTAGGCCGGATCAGATCTCCGATCTCAATCTCCAATCTCCAATCTCCAATCTCGATTCGGGGGCCCGGGGGAGGAGGGGGGCTCAAACCTTCAAGGAGATGCAATTTGGATTCATTCACACTGACCATCTCTCATCTCCAATCTCCAATCTTCTACTTGGCCACTGTCGCCGCCGGCAGCAATCTACGACCTCCATTTTCAATCTTCGATCTCACATCTGGGGCGGATGGCTGGGCGCTAGGATCTACAATCTGCATTCTCCATCTCCTATCTCCACATTTTGGCCCTGTTGCTGCTCAGAGCGATCTGCAATCCACAATCTCAATCTTCGATCTTTAGTCTTGAATGGGGAACCGGACAGGACGGATCTACTGGCGAGACTTGGGCGTGTCCGTGTGAGAGATCCGCTAGGATCTCCAGTCTTAATCTACTATCTCTACCCCAACGATCTACTGGTCTTGCGCAGAGATTTCCATTACTCTCGTTGAATCGTTCAGCTTGGCGTGAATGCCTGGCGCAGTTGTGCGTGTGTCTCGCCAACCGCGCGCGGGGGCCGCTCCCATCGCGGTGTGGAGCGTGGAGCTCCGCGGTACACGTTCAGCATACGCTTAGAGTAAGGTAAGGTAAGGTAAGGTAAACTTCTCCACACACACGAGGTGGTGGGGCAAGGGGGGGCAACCCTCGCGTCTCCACGTCTGACGACAGGAGCCCCACGGCATTCAAAGTGCAGCTAGGCTACGAGAACTACGACCTGAGGAGTGAGGTAGGGTACGGTAACGCGTAGAATGGTCTCTCTCTCTCCGCCCTTCAGGGCACACGCTCGCTCGTGTTCCTGTGTTTTCATCAACGATCACGAGCGCGAAACCTCTCTAAAGCCGTATAATGACAAAAAAGTAAGGTAAGGTAGGTAAGGTAATTTTTTCCACACACACAAAGTGGTGGGGCAAGGGGGGGCGACCCTCGCATCTCCACACCCGGACACGGGCAGGAGCCCCACGCGGCATTCAAAGTGCAAAAAGTGTTGTCCTCCTCGCGTGGAAAACACAAAAAAAGGGCTCCAGGCCCCAAATTACGTGTGAGTGTTAGAGTTGTTTGGTATTGCTAAAAATCTCTCTCGCGTGGACCTCGACCTCGTCAAAAGCACATCGACGACCTGAAGGTAGTGTGGAGCGGGGTACGGCGTGTGCGCGTTACGGTCTCGCTGGACGCGCTGCGGCTCGCGGGCCGTATCTGCGGCGGCTCCTACTGTATAGGGGGGGTTTAGGCATTAGGTTTTTAGGCATTGTGGGGTTGGCACTCCCATCGACCCTCATGACCTCCTGCGGTCTCTGAGATGGACACCAGTGGGTGTGGGACCACAGCCAGGATAAACTCGAAGGCTGGGTAAGCAGTAGAGGTCGACACTCGACGCGTCCCACATGGTCTGTGTCGCTGTCGGCACGCTGTCGACAGGACGTCGAGCGACACCGGTGGCAGTGCCACCCAGGAGTGGTCGGGCGGTCTCCCGTCATGAGAGAGCCACCATGTGATCCGTATGATGGTTCCTGACAACCGCTTCAGTCACTTTTCGTCACAGTTCCCGCTCTGAGAGGACCTGCGGGTCAGTTCGACAGCTGGAGCTGTGTCGCCGGCGTGCGGCGGCCTGCCTCCGGAGGTGCCTCTGAGGTGGACATTTTTTGGTCACCGGGAGAGAACGCATTCGAATTTTTACTCCGGAACTTCAACTGAGCACGCGCACCGGCAAGGGCTACAGTGCCAGTGAGGCGGAGGCGCGAGTCGGAAGGCCGCGACCGTGAGTTGGTATGTTGTTGGCAAACAAGACACAGAGCTCACGTGAGTTGGTCCCCCAATTTTCCTACCGCTGTGAACCCAGCCACGTAGGGCGTCCCCGCTTACGCGCTATCTCCGCGCCGCACGCCCTCTTTTACACGGTGTGCACAAAGGTCATGGTGTTCAAGCGCGACACCCGACAAACGCACAAGGCTTTTTGGCACAACGAAAAGGCACACGCGTCGGGCGGGTGTCAGCACCGACTCTCCTGTCCAAACAAAAACTGGCTGTGCTGGCTTCGGATGTGCCGCATGGCGCGGGGGAGCGCCGCCTCCTGCTCCGCCCGCTCGAGGAAGCGGAAGCCCCGCACCTGCCGGCCCGTCTCCTCGCAGACAAAGCCGTCGCCGTGCATCACATACTCGTGCAGCGTGTAGTCAAAGGTGAGCGGCGCGCCGGCCGGGAGCGCCTCGATCGCCGTTGCGGTCAGCACCGGAGGATCGGGATCGCGAGGCGCGAGCGGAGGGTGCGTGATGCGCACACTCGGACGGAACGAGTGCTGGAGGAAGACCCACGGAGGCTCGCCCTCTTGGCTGGCTGGCGTGAGGAAGCTCTGCTGACCAACCTGCAGACAGCGGTCGCCGGTGTTGCGCCCGACGATCTGGCCGCTGAAGCGGAAGATCGCCGCGCCCGCTGCGACCGGAAGCGCTGCGACCAACCGCTGCCCGGCGCCGTGCCGCTGCAGGCGGACCGCCGCGTAGCTGCCGACCGGCGGGATGTGCATGCACTTTGTCGCCCCCCCGTGTGACTTGCGCGGCCGGTTTTTGTTTGTTCTTCGCTCCGTACGCTTTTTCTTTTTTTGAGAGCGCCTTTGTTGTTAATAGTACAAACCCAATGGTCCTCTGCGAGCGGTCCTTCGTTGCAGTCGCACACACGCACACGCCACGCCGCACCGCGCGCCCGCCCACCGCCCCGCCCAGGCGGGAAAGAGATGAGGAGATGGGACAGCGAAGGAGGAAGCACAAGCACGTATGGGAGGGTTCAGTAATGCGCCACGCTGCCCGGCGTCTCTCACTTTCCGGGACAGCCCCGCCCTTGTGAGGCAGGAAAGTGACGGCTACCCCGTACGCCCTGCAGCCTGCTACCCCGACGCCGACCGCCCATTCTCCCCTCCTCGTTCCCCCCTCGAATGATCCGGACCCCGACAAGCCGCCCGACGTTGGGCCTCTGCCCCGCACGCTCCCGCTCCTCTGCCCCTCACACACACCCAGGCCCGACATGCACATACAAGACAAACCCGGCGTCCTGCTCTCAAAAGAAAAGAAAAAAATGGGAAGGAGGAGACCAGCGGGGGAAACTCCCCGCCTATGCAACACCCCAGAGAGGGGCTGCCATCGCCGAAGCTGTGCCTAAGCATAACTCCCAAACCCGCAGCGGCCCGGGGGGCCTTGGGGGCAGCCTGCCGGACCGCTGTTGCACGGGGCCAAGCACCGGAAGATGAGTGGAATTGATGGATCGGGCCGTTGTCCGTGCCTCCCCTCTATACGTCAGAGTGGGACCTACGCCGCGCCGGGTAAGGGGCGCGCCCGGTCCTCGACGGAGCCGCGCGCCCCAAACGACCCAGGCGGCGAGTAGTCGTCCTCGAACCTTCGACTCGTAGTCGCCCGTGGTCAGCGCCCCTCCTCCCTCGCCCGTCCCTACTCGTACTGCTCTCGAGGCGCCCGCGGCATCTCGCCGCCCATCTTCGGCCACGCGTTGTAGTCGAAGATGGCGGCGTTGCGCCTCGCGACGATGGTCGAGTGCACTTGCAGGAAGCGCTTGCGCTCGCTACTGACCCGCCATCGTTCGCTGTCGGAGGACGCCTTAGCGGCCTTGATGTCGAAGTTGGTGTTGAACCACGTCGCCGCCTCGTGCCCGATGCCGCCACGCGTGCTCGCCGCCCACGTCATAAAGTCGCAGTTTTTGGCGTCGCACGCCGCTGCCTTGGCCTTCCGCTTCGTCGCCTCGGCGTAGTCGGTGGCTAGGCGCTTGCCGCTCGCCAGCGGGCGCAGCCTGTCATGGTGCACCGCGGTGACGCACGTGCCGTCGTACACCACGGCGCGTGCTGACTCTGCATAGTTGCCGAAGACGCCGTCGCCCCGCTGGTACGGGTTGGTGTCCGGATCGTGCGCCCGCGTCGGGTCCCTGCAGCCGAGCCTCACCTCCATGACCTAGAAGTGAGCCTGTGTGTGTGCCAGTCCGCGCCAGTCCGCGCCCTTGTCGTGCCAGTGTGCTGTGAGAGAGGCTTGTATCTTAAGAATTCTTTTAAAAGTCCGCCTGACGGCAGCGCCCCCTTCGCGTTTTTAGCGGCAGCGGTGCCCGGTCGACTCCCTTTGCGGCAGCGGTGCCAGCCCGGCAGCGGTACTGCGCCGCGGCACGCTGCAGCCTCTCGGGGAGCAAACGTACTGGATCAAGTGGTTTGGCTGGAGATCGCCGGAGGGTGACACGGAGGAGTGCGAGTCGAGCATTCATCCGGTCCCTTTGCGCGCGTGAGAGATAGCACATCTCAACGCTTGAAACCCAAACCCACACACACAACACCGATCTTTTAAACAAAACACACCAGGCAAGGGAGGGATGGGAGATCGGATTTATAAAGCGCGGCTGGTTAAGATGCAAAGGTGGGAACGTGTTCTGTCCTCGACCCAGCTCTGGCTTGGGATGTCCGTTTCAACGCGGTATGGGGAAAAAAAGAAAGAAAACAGACAACCCAAGGGAGGGATGGGAGGACGGTATGAGTGGACTGCTGTGTGTGGAGGTTTGGAGAGCCTTGGCGACGCGACGCGCACGTCGCCAAGGAGTTCGTAAAAAAATTGCTTTAATCCAAAATACTCGGCACAGTGCTATCCCCTCCCCCCCCCCCCCCCCGTCCTCTCCGGACTAGACATGTGCGCTACATTGCCTAGGGGTGGGGTGGTGGGGCCTGTTGGGGCATAATGGCTTGTTGTGATAAATATGAGTTGCGGGTGTGGGTCGCCGGCTCTCGCCAGCCTTCCGCAGGCATCCTAAGTTCAGCAGCCCAGCCTCCTCTGTGCCAGCCAAGGAGTTCGTAAAATGTCAGAGTTTTTTTTTCAGGGCGCCCCCGAGTAGTGTGCGCAGTGTGCAAACTTTACCGGTATGAGACCGGTATTTGGCGATATTTTGATTAACTTTGGAGTGGTATTGCGACGGTGTATCATTCACTTTATGCCACCGTTGCATATCCGGATATGCAACGGTGGCATAAAGTGAATGATACACCGTCGCAGGTATGGTATAGTGGTATGCGAAAGTGGTATGCGGGGTTTTCATTAGTTGTAGCGGCTGTCGGTGTGGTCCCGGGGGCGAAACCATGCAAAAGTGCGGGTATTACCCGGGTATACCCGGGGTTTTCCAGGTATACCCGCAAAATACCCGGTATTTTGCCGATTTTGCCGATTTTGCCACCAAGAAGGCACTCCGACTCGCTTTGATTTCCGTGCGGCAACTGGTATCCCGTACCACTTTTTGATTAGTGCAGGCCTTGGGTTTGATTAGCCAAAAACTCCCATACCGGTAAAGTTTGCACACTGAGTGTGCGGCCCGCGGTGCGCGCATCAGAAATGGCCTTTTTCCCGTGCTCAACACACTATAAGAATATCGACGGAGCTCGCACGCGAGCAAACCCTCTCACTGCCCCAGCCCCCTCTCCTCGAATCGCTCGATCTTCTTGGGCAGCAGCTGGTGCGACAGGTCCTCTCCGTGGCCAAGGCAGCCGCGTTCGCCCAGACCCCAAGCATGAACACCGCCGTCGGCGGCGATGGCGAAGCTATTGTATTCCGCAGCCGACACAGCGACGACGCGCTGCCCAGCGAAGGCCTCGACCTGCTTGGGCAGCAGCTGGTTCTGCTGGTCGCCGTGGCCCAGCTGGCCAGAGGCTCCCCAGCCCCAGCTCCAGACGGCGCCGTCGGCGGTGATGGCGATGCTGTGGCGACCTCCCGCCGACACAGCGACGACGCGCCGGCCAGCAAAGGTCTCGACCTTCTTGGGCAGTGGCTGGCCCTGCATGTCGCCGTGGCCCAACTGGCCAACACCTCCCTCGCCCCAGCTCCAGACGGCGCCGTCGGCGGTGATGGCGAGGCTGTGGATGCCTCCAGCCGCAACAGCGACGACGCGCCGCCCAGCAAAGGCCTCGACCTTTTTGGGCAGCAGCTGGCGCTGCCGGTCGCCGTGGCCCAGCCTGCCATTGCCCCCTGCGCCCCAGCTCCAAGCGGCGCCATCGGCCGTGGTGGCGAGGCTATGGCGGGCTCCAGCCGACACAGTGACGACGCGCCGGCCAGTAAAGGCCTCGACCTTCATCGGCAGCAGCTGGGCGTGCCGGTCGCGCTGGCCCAGCTTGCCATAGCCTCCCCAGCCCCAGCTCCAGACGGCGCCGTCGGCGGTGATGGCGAGGCTGTGCATCCACCCAGCCGACACAGCGACGACGCGCCGGCCAGCAAAGGTCTCGATCTTCTTGGGCAGCAGCTGGTCCTGCTCGTCGCCGTGGCCCAACTGGCCAAAGAGTCCACCGCCCCAGCTCCACACAGATCCGTCGGCGGTGAGGGCGAGGCTGTGGTATGCTCGAGTCGCCACGCTCACGGCGCGCTCGTCACCCAGCATTGACGGGAGGCGGGTCGGCGTGTTGAGCTGCGTCACGCCCTCGCCGTGGCCGAGAAGGCCTGGAAATTCCTCGTCGTCGTCATCCTCCTCCTCCTCGCCCTCCCTTGCCGCTGACCCGCACGACGAGAGCCGCCCCTCGCCGTCGATGAAGACGCTGTGCCGTTCACCTGCTGACACCCTCGCCGGCGCGTTGGACTCGCGCAGCAGCGCCGAACAGTACAGCCACCGCACGGCGCAGCCCTCGCCCTCTGGCTGCGCCGGCAGCTCGAAGCCGCGCTCTTGCGCCCACAAGCGGATGCCCTGCTCCGCAAGCGAGGCGTGGAAGAGGTAGCGAGACGGCCGCGACGCGAGCGATGTCGGCGGGGTCGCAGCGGGAGAGGGCGCGCTCGAGGAGCTCCCTGGGAAGGTCGAGCAGGCGGGCGGGCGGCGGCGTGTCTGTCGAGGGAGCGGCGGTGGCGGCGGAGGCGAGGCGGCGCGAGCGGCGCCGCGGGGCAGACATCGAGAAAAAGAATTACAGCAAAAGTCTATCGTTCTTGGTCCGTTTTCTTCTTTTCTTTTTTGTGGCATGGGGCCGTCGAACACATCCCACGCTAGCATACCGCAAATTCTTTTCCTTGTCAGGTTTTTGCTCATGGTGCATTTACTCACACCACCGCAGTACAATTGATTGAGTCCGCGTTTTTTTATGCGTATTAGGGACCGCAGAACATCAGAGAAAAAATATATGTTTTGTAAAAGAAAGAAAGAAAGAAAACAGACACGCCAAACGAGGGATGGGACGAGGACAGGGTCCCCACCTGCACGAGCAGGATTTTGGAAGGACGATCAGGGGGACAGGTGGGCTCTCCTGCTCCTGACAAGGGACACGACAGGCTCGCAGCGCGGTGCGCGGTGGACTCCCACATCCACTGGCGGTCTCATCTCAGTCTAGCGACCTGCCTCCAGCGTGTCGCTGGCAGTCTCTCGCTACCACACAGGCACACTGACACAGGGGTACATCAGCGCCCCGCCTTCTGCGTAATTTTTGGCGGGACCCGGTCGATCAGCGCCCCCTTCCTCCGCGTTTGTGGTGGCGGCGTGCCGTTCTTCCTCCCTGCCTTGCGTTTTTGTGGTTTCTTTCTTTCTTCCTCCGCGTATTAGCGGTGCCCGGTCGACACACATGCAGCGCCTCGCCGCCGCCGGCTTCACCGCGGCTGGCGCCGTCGGCGGAGCCGCCGCCGCCGTGCTCTTCGGCGGCGCGTCGAGGCCGTCCAAAGAGGAGGAGCCGCCTCCGTCGCCTGCAGCGCTTGCACGGCGCTTCTGCCCGTATGGACTGCCCTCGGACGAGCACGTAGTGGTCAAGCAGGGATACGCTTCCAGCATCAACTTTCGGCTGAGGATCCCGAACTGGGTCGCGGAGCACTACTCGAGGGACCAGAGCGATGCGGACGGAGTCGACCGCAAGCACTCCAAGTTCCGTGCCGACGAGAGCGTGCCGGCCGACTTCCGAGCCACCAACGACGACTATCGAGGCTCGCGCCTGTCGCGCGGCCACATGGCTCCCGCCGGCGCGCACAAGCAGTCCCAGGAGGCGCTGGACGAGACCTTCCTGCTCTCGGCCAACATTCTGCCGCAGGAGCTCTCCAACAACGGCTCCGACTGGCTGCGGCTCGAGCGCTGGTCGCGCGGCCTGCTCAAGGAGTACAGCGACGTCTACGTCGTCTCGGGCGCCCTCGCGCCCGCGCACCAGCCCGCCGCCCGCCCGCCGCCCTCACCTTGGCACTGCAGTCGCGTGCCGGCCGCCCGTTGATTGAGACGTCTCTGCGCGTGCACAGGGCCACTCTTCCTTCCGGACGACAGCTCCGCCGCGAGCGACGCGCCGCCTCCGGCAGCAGCCTCAGCCGCAGCCGCCGCCTCTGCCTCTCCGGCCGTCGACGCGAGTGCGGCCAGGCGGCGGCCCGGCCCACGGCGGCGGCGCGTCGCCTACGACGTGATCGGTCCGCACGAGGTGGCTGTCCCGACGCACCTCTTCAAGGTGGTGTTGGCCGAGCAGACGGGCACGGGCGAGAGGCGACTCGCCGCCTTCCTGCTGCCAAACGCCCCGGCGCGCGTCGCCACCCGCCCCTCCTCCCTCCTCTGGACGCGTCCTGGACCCGTCCTGGACCTGTCCTGGACCTGCCCCCGCGCTCTCCCGCTCTCCCGCAGGTGCGCGGCCACCCCGACATCGACGAGTTCGCCGTGCCGCTCGCCGACGTGGAGCGCGCCTCCGGGCTCACCCTCTTCGAGGAACTCGGCGCGGCGCGCCACTCGGCGACGGAGATCCGGCCGCTCTGCGGCGCGGGCGCGGCGGCACGGTGCGGCAGAGGCGCCATGGACGGGCGGATCGCGGGCTGGAAGCTGCTGGGCCACCTCAAGCTCGCGGGCGACTGCAGCGCGCTCGAGGAGGCGTGGGGCGCAGTGCCGCCAAAGACGGAGGCCTTCGGCTTGATGCGGCGTACATATGAAGACCGATCCGGGACGATGGCGTGCCCGCTGGCAGAGAAGAGGGAGAGGAGAGGGGACATGACAGCTGTGTGTGGAGAGGACAGGTCAGGAGCGGGATGATGATAAATATGAATATAGGGCGGTGTACCGCCACAGGCCAAGCCCCTGTCGCGCACAAAGCTCTGGGGGGAGGCGGCCCGCGGGGGCCCCCGGAGGCACCGTGCGCCGCGCGCCGCACGGCAGAGAGCGCAGTTGCGCGGGGTCCGCGTCCGGGGCCCTGGGGAAACTCGGACACGCTAGGTCCAGCCCTGGGTGAGGTGGGTTGTGACATTTGGCGAGATTCCGCGGCTTACTGGGCCCCTGAGCTGCTCCCCGTGTGCGATGTGTGGCCCAGAGGCATGGTTCTGAGATAGTGAACGGGTCGCGGACCTGCCAAACACAGGCTACAGCCCCACACACGCGACACGCGCCCGCCATAGCTCTTGGAGAGCATGCGTGAGTGACGCGCTGCAAGCCGCGAGAGTGGCATCAGAGGCAGGAACGACCTACTCTTCTCGTCGACGCACTTTTGCGGCCTGCCGCTCTTCGTGACGTGGGCCTTCCGGCTGGTGAAGCCCTTCATGCGGCGCGAGACGTACGAGGCGATGGTCCTCAAGCCCTCCTTCTCGCACCTATCGGCGCACATCACACCCGAGAACATGCTGCCGCGGTGGGGCGGCACCTTCGAGTTCGACCTCGACACGGACTGGCGCGCCAAGGAGGAGGGCATCGACGTGGCGAGCCTCTGTGCGCGCGGCGAGGGGCGCGCCTTCGATACCAAGGCGGCCGCCGCCGCGCAAGCCGCGGCGTTCGCCGCGGCGCAGGGCGAGGACGGCGCGGCGGGCAGCGGCGGTGGCGACGGTGGCGGTGGCGGCATCACGGCCCCCGAGATGATCGCCGCGGGCAGCGTGGCCCGGAAGGGCGTCGTGAGCAAGCGCGGATCCGGCCGCGGGCTTTTCTCGACGGTGCGCTGGAAGCGCAAGCTCCTCGTGCTCAACCCGCAGGCCCTCTGCTACTTTGACGGCACCGACGAGGCCGATACGACCAACAAGCTGGATGATGCCGCTGGACCCGTCGGCGACGGTCGAGCGCGTGCCGAGCGCGGGCGCCGATTCCAAAGGCCCCTCGCACCAGTTCGTCGTCCACGTGGCGGCCAAGGACTTTTTGTTTGGCGTCGACTCGAGCGCGGACGCGGACGAGTGGGTCAGCGCGGTCCAGACGGCGATCAGCTCTCCGCCCATCAGCACTCCGCCCGAGGAGGCCATCGCGCGCATCAAGCCGAGCAGCAGCAGCCCCGACGGCGACGACGACGACCTCGCCGTGGACGTCGCGGCAGTGAGCATACGCTCGGAGGCCACCAGCGGCAATTCGCAAGCCGTGACGCTGACACCCTCGAAGCAGGCTACGGCTTTACAGGTCCTGGCTTCGGTTTCGCAACAGCTTCGTTTTCACAACACGGCCGCCTCGCGACGCCGCGCCGTCGTGCAGATCGTGTCCGAGCCATCCACAAGGCCGCCGGCACATGTGCCAATGTGCCCGGAGCGCAGGGAGTCGATGGGTGCCGCAGTCCAAGCGATCACTGCACTGCAGTGCTCGCTCGCACTGCGGCGCTGCGCCACGGCGGCGAAGCATGTCTGGACTTCAAGGACAGTGCTTCTCCGCTGCTCGAGGCTTGCGGCAAGGTCCAGGCCGACCACACAGAGCACCCGAGGCAGCTGGCGTGGCCTCACTCATGACCTGTGCTACCCGTCGGCGGGGCCAGCTGCGGTTTCACAACGCGCCTCATTTTTGGCACCCTCCTGCTAGCCGCTCATGAGTAGGGAGACCGTGTGTGGTGTCTTCGCGGCCTAGAGCACCCTCTTGGCAGTCTATATTCCGGATTTTAGCCCTCCTGTCGCATCTGGTGAGCGCCGTACCATAGCGAGGACAAACGCGTTGTGAAACCAAAGCCAGGACCTGTAGTGGCTTCAGTCACACTGCACAGCGACCATCGCATAGGTGCGATGCGCCCCTCCTGTGTGCGATTGGCCGGCGGGTGTTTTCACAACTTCGGCGCTGTGAACGGCGCTCCTTTCTAAGGGGCTCCGTCGCCAATGCTACCGTGTGATTTGCCAACAATATACCTACCACCACACACGGTGACATAGCTGTTGAGCTACGCCGAACGGAATATCTCGCGAGCAGTGATAGGACCGCGTCCGAGGCTCCTGCGCGTGTTCTCGCGATTGCTCGCAGTGCACTCACGGCTGGCGTGCCGCGGACATGCTCCAGGTGCCGGCAACATGCATGGCAGCATGCGCCATGCATGCAAGGTGTGCGCCACACGCAACATTGCCCAGCATGACGCCTGCACATTGCACACTCCATCGTCGCCGGCGGCTGTCAAGTGTCTTCCAATGGCTTGTCGACGTCCGATTGGTTCAGTAGTCGGGTTTAGTAGTGTCCGTCGAGCAGTAATACTATAAATCCGAGGCTCTGGGGACCGAGTCTTGGCGACCGCGTGAACATGATTACTGTGAACGCACAGCGCCATAGGAGGTATTTTCTTCTCAATAACAAGGCTGTGAACTGCAACGAAAACTTGGGGACGGTCAAGCGAGCCTTGTTCCGTACGAGACGAGAGAGTACGTACGAGACAGACGACCAATCAGAAAATAACCATGCGAAACACCGCGGCCATGGTGCGGGAGAAGGCAGCTCGCGCATTCCGTGACTACTCGGTGGCCGCTAAGCGGCGGGGCTCGTGCGCCACCATCTCGCCCTTTGCGAACCGCCGTCGCGCCGTGTGAGTGCCAGGCCCAGGGGCCCATTACCTCGCGTCGGCCTCGGCACCCGTGGCGGAGCTCGCACGCTGCTCGCACGCTGCATTGTGACCTGATCAGAAAAGATCCTCGCTACCCAACGCGGCCAAAGGATATCCACCTCGAGAGAGAGAGAGAGAGAGAATTCTTGATACGAAACCACGACGACACACACCAGTCGACTCGCATCGGTTGCCTCCATGAACGGCGGAGCTATTCTCGCGCCCACACCACACCTGGCTCCAACGTGGACACGCCCATAGCTGGGGACACTACTAGGTCACGCATGGCATCACAGAAGTTTTATCTCTGGGCCCCGAAAGGCATCTCTAGCAGTGTCGTTACACATGCCCCCTCCCCTCCTGGGCGCATGCGCCTCACGTCTCGCCAGAGCATAAGCCCTTGGCGTGTGGCGAGACGAGTTTTTCGCCATCGCAGCGAGCAGCAAGCCGCCCGCCGCAAACAGCCGGAGGCATCGCCACGGCACTGGCTGCGCCGCGGTCCCGCACCCGTCGACGCAGCTCCCCCCGCGGAAGACCGCGCGTAGCAACGTCTTGACGATCGAGATGAGCGTGCCTGAAGCTCGCCCACCTACTGCCCCTGAGAGTTGGTTATGAGTGGGCTCGGCTCCCCCCCTTGGGATCGAAGCTTCCACGACCTCACACCCAACACCACAGGCGGGATCAGAAGGGGACTCCACACCGGACACCGCCCGGGCACAGCCCCCCTACCCGTCGGATCGCACAGAGGGCCCCCTCGGAGCAGCCCACACACAATCACGCATCGGCAGATTGAGTGCCTGAGTCAGGCAGACAGCACAGACAAGAGGAGAGAGAGGAGAGAGAGAGAGAGAGAGAGGAGAGAGGAGAGGGTGAGGGTGTGAACACACGTGAGGAGTGGGGGAGGGTGTCTGTGGTGGGTTGTAGTCATACTACGTGGTTACAACCACGCGCCCCTCAGGAGCTTAAGGTAGAGCTGAGCGTCCAAGACGCCTCGGTGCCTCCCACCGGGTGAGACCATCCGGATCTGCCTGCCGCGTCCTCCGTACGCAGCAGTCCCCGCGATGGCCCACGGTCCTCCGTCGCCTGGTTGAACCCCCTGCCTCCCGGTTGACCCCCCGGTCCCCGCACACGACCATGAAATAAACTCAAAGTCCACCACAGCCACCAGCCTCCACCTCCACCCGCGAGCCGCCACCGCTGCCGCCCGCGACGCCGCCCGCCGCGTCAGATAGCCGCGACGCGCGCATCGAGTCGCGTCGGAGAGCCGCGCCGCACCAGCAGCAGCATCTGCACCACCAGCAGCAGCAGCAGCACCACCACCACCACCCGAGAGAGAAGCGCACCTGCCCGACGCCGCCCGCCGCGTCAGACGCTCGCGACGCGCGCGTCGAGCCCAGTCGCACAGCCGCGCCGCGCCAGCAGCAGCATCGGCACCAGCAGCAGCAGCACCACCACCACCAACAGCAACAGAGACAGGCAGTGCAGGCGCAGAGGCGCTCGCAGAGCGGCGCTCAGCGCCGCGCACGCCACGCTGCGGACCGTCGGACGAGCGCACCGTACGTCGGCGGCGAGCCGCGTCGCCAGCCGTCTCGCGAGAGAGCGGCGCCGCCGCGTGCGCGCAGCAGCCGCCGCGGCAGAGGCGAGCCGCGGCGACGTCCGCACTAACGGATAACTTTCTCTCTCTCTCTCTCTCTCTCTCTCTCTCTATCCACCTCGAGGTACGAGGTAGGTAGGTAGGTAGAAAGGTGAAGAACAGCCAGGCTCGGACTGGACACCAACGCGGTATGGGTGGACGCTAGACAGATGATGACGACACGCACGAGCGACACACAGACACAAACAGGCTCAAAAGACACCTCGAGAGATCAGAACAGAAAAATCTTCTGCTGCTTGCTGTGCCGCACACCGAGCGCCCGCTGCTGTGGCCGGTACCACCGGAAGCTGCTGCTCATGCTTGCGGCGGACAAGCTGCTGCTGCAGAGCGAGGTCAAGCAGCGCGCCATCAACCTGCGGGAGCGGGAGCTCAAGCTGTTCAACTCGAACTTTTCGGCCGTCGGCTCGCAGTCGGCGATCATGGCGGGCTTCACGCTCACCTCCTTTGTGGAGATTGACCTGCCGCCGGAGCGCGCCTTTGCCAAGGGCGTGCTCCACTTCTTCATCACCGCCTCCGTCTGCGTCAACTTCATCTGTGTCGCAATGGTGATGTTTGTGACGGTCTGGGGATCGGGCAAGGCGCTGCGCGGGCTCGACGGCTCGATGGACTACGCAGTCGACTCGATGAACGACGAGCGAACCTTCATCTTCACCTGCTTCGCGCTCGGTGTGCTCTCCACCCTCGGCTGCATGTTTGCCGCCGCTTGGGTGCTGATGGAGGCGCGCGCCACGGCCGGGGAAGGCTAGGACATGGCTAGGGCAAGTCTCCCGGCGCGGGGGGGGGGGGGGGGGGGGGCTTCCGCCGGAGCGAGAGCGCGAGAGCGCGCGCGCGGCGAGGGCGAACACTCGCGAGATCCCCACACACCGGATGGGCGGCAGCAGGCGGGGGTGTCATGTTCGCGCCCTCGGCCCCTCTCCAGGAGAGCATTGCAATGTGCGCCTCGGTCTTTCTGCTCACGACGATGTACATGGTCGGCACAAGAGCTGCCTCAGACGCCTCCCAGACGCCTCCCAGACACCTCGCGCACACGTCTCCCGCCCCCTGCCCCCTCCACACGGCTGGAGGCCCGCAGAGACAGACTTAGAGAGCCTTCTCCGAGCCTCCTCAGAGCCTCCTCGGAGCCTCCCCCCCCTAGGTTGGCTCGGAGGCCCGCCGCATCCGCAACCGGTGCCGGTCCCGCCGTGCCGCCCGGCGGGGGTGGGCGGACCCACCCCCCACCCGCCTCGGCGCGCTTGCTTCAGGTTTTATGTCCCGCCCGGCGAGGAGGTTTCATTCAACGAGTTCAAGCGGATCGACCCCGCCGACGAGATAGCGCGAAAGACGCTCCGGACAGGCTCGGCGAGCCCGTTCAAGGGGCTGCGTGACGAGTGACTGGCCGCCGAGCGGCCTCTACGTGGGAGCAGCACTCTGTCTCGACTACGGTATTCATGATTCGTGTGACTGTGAGTGGCGACTGAAGGACTGATCTGTGCGGGACTGCGCTGTGCGCACGTGTGATCAACGAGAGCTTCTTTTTGCGGGGGTTTTGCCCAGCGCTCTCTCCAGCTTGTTTGTTATGTGTGCGCGAATAACACGAACAAGAGCAAGAAACCACTAGCTCAAGGTAAAAGTCGCACTCACAAGTGGCTCTCTCGTCTCTGCACGGCGGGGGGCCACGCCTCTGGGCCGGCGCGGGGGGCCCAGAGGGTGTCCATGCGGGGGGGAGATGGGGTCCCATGGCCCGCCGCAGGCGCCGATTTTTTGGAGTTTTTTTTCTTTTTTCGCGATTTTTTACTTGTTTTCATGGGAATCAGTCAGTCAGTCAGTCTTACACACCTCCAAGCATGGAGGACGGGCCCACACGCACACACACGCTGCACACGATTGGCTCGGGAGCCGACACGAGGCACGCTGTCACCGGCCGTAGCACTGGGTCCGGACTGCTGGACACACAGCACACAGCTCACAGAACAGCTCACGAGGTGGCGCTGTATAGTGGGGTTCTCAGGGACCGACACAGGAGAAGAAGGTGGGGCACAGGGACAGGACACAGGACTCACGAACTGATATCCCAACCCGCGCCGGGGGCGGTGGCGCGCGCGAGCGCCGGGGTGTTTGGACCCGCAGTCTGGCAGGCGCCAGGCCACAGATCCGCCGGCAGAGCCTTCAAGCCGCATCCGCGATCCGCGCCGGCTCTCAGAAGAGATCCGGCGCGGTGCTGACCGCGTCCTCGCAGCGGACCACCGAGTTCACGATGATGTCCGAGGAGAAGCGGTGCAGCTGCGTGGCTTTTGGGCGCACCTCTGGTGGTGCTGCGCGCTCTGCGCGGCGCCACCGGCGGCGCGTCGGAGTGGCGGGCTGGCGGCCGCCACTCGCGTGGTGCCAAGAGGTTCTCCGGAACCCTTACGCGCACCACGGCGGCCGCCTTCAACTCCCCGAGCGGGGCCCTAGGACCAAGGGCGCGCTCGGCAAATTCCTGCGCTTTGCGCAGGGTCACAACCCCTGGGCCAGTTGTTGGTGGAACCACCTCAAGGCCAGCGCGCATGCGCGGGCGATGGACTGACTCCAGCAGCTCAAGGGCTCGCGCTCTCCTCACCGCCGCGCGCGCGTTGCAGCAGGAGTGCC